ATGACTGAGTGGAGCCACACTGGCCACAGGACGTCCTGCCGCCGGGGCCTGCCACTCCCACTTCAAACCACTTGACGAGGTGTTGAAGTGGTTCTTCTTATAATTGTGATCAGGATGGAATGCACCCCTTCCCTGCACATCGCTGTCCACCCGTGGCCGGTCACCTGGCCAGTGGTTCACCCGCTTTAGGTCCGTAGGCCCCAGAACAGCACCTGGGAGAGGTTGAGGGGACGGCAGAAGAGAGCCCCTTAGTCAAAGGGAGCCGTGTCGGCCCGCTGGGCCATCGAGAAGGAACTGTTGGCAGTTAGGCATGAAGTCACCCCAGATTCAAAGGCGGAGCAGGGCAGGAGAGCAGAGGAGGGCATTCCTCCAGGAGGATGAGAGTGGGGCTGCCAGAGAAGGGTGCAGAGTCAGGGGGCAACAAGGAGGGCTGGGCACGGTCTGGACATCGGAGAGTGCGACTTGTGGTGGGCAGACGGGTGTCAGGCCCTGGGCTGGGGCAGGAGCAGCTGAGTTTGCTTGCATGAGCTCCATGGTGATGGTGATGGTGAGGGGATGAGAAACCACTTCCCACTCCTGGGGGCCCTCAGTTTCCCTCATCCTGAAAGAGAAAGGCCACACATGGCCTCGCACTCCTTCGGTACTTGCGAGCACGGGCGGATGCCCACAGGCACAGGCATGATGGGACCTCGGGTCCACGTCCACCGGACCGTTGATCGGGGGCAGGCAGCCTTCCCTGCTGGCCCAATCCCCAACTTCGGGAATGGGGGTCATATGGTCACACACTGGGGAGCCCAGGACAGGGTCTCTCTCCTATGCATTTTGTTGCCATGAGATCTGGGAGACAGGGAAAACCCCTAAGACCACTCCCAGGCTTCGGTCAGGATGAGAAGGAGAGAGGGCCCCCAGGCCCAGGCCCCAGCTCCAGGCCCCAACGCCCCAGGCCCTACCCCCAAGTCCAGGCTCCGCCCTCAGCCCCAGCCCCCAGTCCCGAGGCCGCAGCCCAGGTCCAGCCTCCATGGTCCCAACCAGGCCCCCAGCCTCCAACCCCAGGGCCCCACTCCCAGGTCCTACCCCCAGAGGTCCAGCCCTAACCCAGCTCCAGGCCCAACCCAGTAGAGAGGCCCCAGGTCCGAGCCTCAGCCAGCGCCCCCAGCCCGGCCCAGCGCACCCCAGCCCGCAGGCCCATCCCCAGAGCCCAGCCCCACGCCAGCCTCGCAGTCCCAGACTCCAACCCAGGCCCGACCCCCAGGGTGGCCACCCCAAGCACAAACCCCGAGGGCCCCGCACCCCCAGGCCCCAGCCCCCAGGCCCCAGCCCCCAGCCCTAGGCCCCTCCTCCCAGCCTGCAGCTGCCAGGCCTCAGCCTCTCTTCCCTGTGTCCCACCTGCAGCAGCTCAAAGGCCGCCAGCAGGTCTCCAGCTGTGGCATTGCCACGGTAGATCTGGTAGTACTCGAGCTGGGGCGGGAAGCGGGGTGGGCAGTACGCCTCATCTGCCATCTTCACCAGGGGCTTGGCGAAAGTCCGGCCCATGAAGTCAGCTTTGCCCTGACACAGCAAACAACCCAGATGCCTCTTGGTGCTTGCTGTCCACACCTGATCTCGTTTAGTCCTTACCACAGCCACATGAGTTGTTGTAAGGGACAGGTGTGATCACCGCATTTTACAGATGGGGAAACCAAGTCTCAGGGCCCATCAAACACTTGTTCAAGGCCAAGCAGTCAGTGAATAGCAGATGTCCGGCTCGGGACTAGACATGAGGTCCTCCTACGTCTAGTCCAGGGCTATCTGGCACCTCCGCAGCTGAGGTGGTGCGTGAGAAGGTGGCTCACTAACTCTCGGGAGTCACCCCAATCCCTGACTTCCTACTCCAGAATCTCCACGGAGGACGGCAAGGCTGTTACTGGTTGTGGTAAGTGTGGGCGGGCTTCGGGAAGCCCCGGGGTGAGGAGGCTAGTGATAGCAGGACTTGCCAGCACATCTCCAGGGCTCGGACCATTGGTGACAGGAGGTAAGGATGTCCTGGCCTGGGAAGGGGTCAGGCTGCCGCAAGCTGGCAGGAGGCACCTGGAGGGACTGGGTGTCAGCCCCCACTCCCAGCTTCCCAGTCAGCACCTGGCCAAGGAACTCTGCGGGTGGGTGGCGGAGGTGGCCGGCACAGCCTCCGTGCAGGTGGAGTGCAGGGAACAAGGGCCAGGTGTGGTGCTGCTGAGGTCCCTGGCACCAGAGCCCACCCATACCATGGAATCCTGGTCGTAGATTTCAATGACAATGATGGGCGGATCGTCCCTCAGCTCATGAGCTTCGCCATAGAGCTCCAGATTGTCGAACACCAGCATCTGGTCCCAGGTGGGACACAGGGTCTCATTCAACACCTGCAGCATGGGGTGGGGAGACAGGTGACAAGTGACAGAGGGTGGGCAGATGCAAGAACAGGAGCTGCCCCTACTCACTCAACTTCCACAGAACCTGGGGGCAGGAGTGACAGATTTCTTGATTCTTCCAGAAATCTTAAAATCAAGGCCAGTGTAAGGTTTGCCCCAAACCCCCTGCCAACGTCCTCCTTGTTGTCCCTGTCTTGTGAATATAACCACAACTAAAGCCCGTAGCCTTTCCAGTGTGACCCAGGTCTACAGTTATCTGCAGGGCTTCCCCTGAGAAACTAGGGCACTGGCTGACCTGTGGCTCCAGGCCCCACAGGCTCACAGGCCCCACAGACTCCAGGCCCCATGCCCCACAGGCTCACAGCTCCAGGCCCCACAGGTTCCAGGCCCCACAGGCTCCAGGCCCCAGGCCCCACAGGCTCACAGGCCCCATAGGCTCTAGGCCCCACAGGGCTCCAGGCTCCAGGCCCCACAGGCTCACAGGCCCCATAGGCTCTAGGCCCCACAGGGCTCCAGGCCCCAGGCCCCAGGCCCCACAGGCTCACAGCTCCAGGCCCCATAGGCTCTAGGCCCCACAGGGCTCCAGGCTCCAGGCCCCACAGGCTCACAGGCCCCATAGGCTCTAGGCCCCACAGGGCTCCAGGCCCCAGGCCCCAGGCCCCACAGGCCCACAGCTCCAGGCGCCACAGGCTCATAGGCCCCACAGGCTCCAGGCCCCATAGGCTCCAGGCCCCAGGCCCCACAGGCTCTAGGCCCCACAGGCTCCAGGCCCCAGGCCCCAGGCCCCACAGGCTCACAGGCCCCACAGGCTCTAGGCCCCACAGGCTCCAGGCCTCAGGCCCCACAGGGCTCCAGGCCCGAGGCCCCACAGGGCTCCAGGCCCAAGGCCCCACAGGCTCACAGCTCCAGGCCCCACAGGCTCATAGGCCCCACAGGCTCCAGGCCCCACAGGCTCACAGCTCCAGGCCCCACAGGCTCCAGGCCCCAGGCCCCAGAGGCTCACAGGCCCCACAGGCCCCAGGCCCCAGGCCCCCAGGCTCATAGGCCCCACAGGCTCCAGGCCCCACAGGCTCACAGCTCCAGGCCCCACAGGCACCAGGCCCCACAGGCTTCAGGCCCCAGGCCCCACAGGCTCACAGCTCCAGGCCCCACAGGCTCACAGGCCCCACAGGCTCCAGGCCCCAGGCCCCACAGGCTCCAGGCTCCAGGCCCCAGGCCCCACAGGCTCACAGGCCCCACAGGCTCACAGGCTCCACAGGTCCCAGGCCCCACAGGCTTACAGGCCCCACAGGCTCACAGGCTTCCTGGTACTCTCAAAGCCAGAGCCACTCCCTCCCCCCAGGCCCTCACCTCTGTGCACTGACTCTGATTGATGAAGAAGACGCGGGCGAAGGGGTCTGAGAGTCCGCTGCTGTCGGCGGCAAAGAGGCTGCGGGCCTGGTACATGTGGGCTCGGAGCTGGAACGTCTGCTTCTCTGTGGGGAAGCGCAGCCTGAGGTTCTGGGATGGGCAGCCCCTCCAGCCCCTCCCAGGTGAGACTTCGAGTGAGGGGTCCTCACTCACTGGTGTAGACCAGGCTGACGGGCGGGAAGGCGTGCAGGCCCAGGCCCTGGGCCGCCTTGACCTCCTGGAAGCCACAGGGCAGGCCGCACAGGAAGTCCTTGCGCTGTTTGCTGAGGCCCAGCCACAGGTACAGCTCCACCTTGGCCTGCACTGTCCAGCCTGCCGAGCCGAAGCCTCGCTTCCCTGGCAACTGGGGGTGGGCATGGGGTCACCAGGAGCCTGACGGCTGCCAGGGCCCACGGGGTGGGGAAGGGGCAGGGGCTGGCGGAGGCCCTGGTCAGAGCTGCCCTGCCCCTTCACAGCATCCTGCTGGGCTGGGGTCCAGTGGAGACAGGGAGATGGGCAGGGGGCCGTCCTACCCCTTCCGCACCCCTTCCCCCACCTCCTTCCCATTCTCAGCTCTTCTCTGAGCACCTACTGCCTGAAGGCCTCACTCTGTCACTCAGGCCCTCCAGCCCCAGGTGGAGCTGCTGCTCCTCTGAAAGGATCCAGGCCCCCATCCATCCTGCCCCCTCCAGCACCTTGAGGAAGAGCGTCTTGACCTTGGCGCAGTCCTTGCCGGTCTCCTCCTCCACGATGGAGAAGAGCAGGTCCTTGGAGGGCACACGGGCATAGGCGATACGCTTGTTGTTGCTCATCATCCAGATGAAGATGTCCGGAATGCTGTGCTGGGGCTGGCGGGGTGGGGAGTGGCCAGGGGCAACGGGTAAGAGGGTCCAGCCTCCTGACTGAGTCCCCTGAGCCTGAAGGACCTCAGAGAGCCAACCCTGGATAAGGCAAAGCCCCCTCGCCTTGGGCCGCACCTCGTCTGCCAGGAAGCGCAGCTTCTGCAGGAAGTTCTGGCACAGCCTCAGCTTGTCCCGCACCGTGTGCCGCTTCACCTGGGCCCGCAGGGTCCTGGCCTGCTGCCCCATGCTTTCCTGTGTGGGAGGGGGTGTCAGCGAAGCCCAGCTACTGGGGGACAGCTCGGGCCATGACAGAGGCAGCTGTGACACCTTCTCACAGCCAGGCCCTCCCTCCAGTCCCTGCGGTCCAGCCGCGTCCTCACCAGCTCCCTCATGCAGGACTTGAGGCGCTCCCGGTCAAGCCTGGTGCGGGATGAGTGGCCCTGATCCTTGTCAGCGAGGGAGAGGAAGCGGCTGGGGATAGGGGGAGCTGGGATTTAGCGAGCCTGACAAGCAGGGGCTCTGTAGATTCTTCCTCATCTACCCAGCCCTGGCGGGGTCCCCTTTGTCCAGTTCTGCTTTGTCCTGCCCCAACCTGCCGCCCCCCGCTTCTCACCAACAGCCACAGCTCAGCTCCTCCAGGACGCCCCGCAGGCGACGCTCAGGGTAGAACTTCTCCGTTTTGATCATCTCCTGTACGTCGTTCAGGCCTTCTTCCTGTGAACCAGGAGTGCCAGTGATGCTGGGCCACAGCCCCGCCTCCCCAGCCTCCCCAGCCTTCCTAAATGTCTCCTCCCCATTGATCAGGGGAGTGAGGGACCGCATGATCTGGGAGCTCTTGCTAGGGCCGTCCTGAGTATCGGTCATTATGAGGAAGTCATCCATTTCCCAGGTTCTGTTCTCAGAACCTGGAGATGTTGGTGTTCGTGGGTTCTTCAGTTCCTGAAGGAAGAAGCCACCTCTGGACTGTGAGTCTGTGGTTCTGGTGGGCTCACAGGGCCTGGGCAGAACTCAGGCCTAGGCAGGGGGCTCATGGCTGGCCAGAGACAGAGGGAAACCCAGGATCCTGACGTCACTCCAAAATGCTGGGGCCTGTGGCAGGGCATGGGAACAGATGCCTGGGGGAAGAGGGAGTGGCCCTGGCTCTGAGAGCACTGGGAGGGCTGGGAGACCCAGGTCCCACAGAAGACACAGGTCAGCTAGTACCCTACTCCTTAGCGGGAAGCCTTGCAGACAACTGCAGGCCCAGGTCACACTGCAAAGGCTGTGGGCTTTAACTGTGGTTATAGTCACAAGACAGGGGTGACAAGGAGGACACTGGCAGGGGGCTGGGAGCAAACCTCATATTAGCCTTGACTTTTTTGGAGGTTTTAATTCATTTTTATAAAATATGAGCTGGCTGAGCTTCAGGGAACTTCAACAGGGAACAGCAACATCTCAGGGAAGGGTGGGATTATCTGCTGGTCCCTGCTCCCCCAGGTTGGGGAGAAGGAGGTCTCAGGCCAACAGCTGCGCTCCTCGCCCAGTCAGTGCCCATGGGTCAGGCAGGGAGAGGGGTGGGCGGAGGAGGAGGGGGCAGCTCCTGAGCTTCAGACACTGCTCGCTTCTCCCTTCTCCCCATTTCCCTTCCCTAGCCTTGCTTTTTTATTTTATTTTATTTATTTTTTTGAGATGAAGTTTTGCTCGGTCACCCAGGCTGGAGTGCAGTGGCACGATCTTGGCTCACTGCAACCTCCGCCTCATGGGTTCAAGCAATTCTCCTGCTTCAGCCTCCCGAATAGCTGGGATTATAGGCGCTCGCCACCAAGCCCTGCTAATTTTTACATTTTTAGTAGAGATGGGGTTTCACTATGTTGGCCAGGCTGGTCTCGAATGCCTGACCTCAGGTGATCCACCCACCTTGGCCTCCCAAAGTGTTGGGATTACAGGCGTGAGCCACCACAACTGTCTCCCTAGCCTTGCTTTTAAGATTTCTGGAAAAATCAGGGAACCCAACACTCCTGCCCCGGGGTTTGCTGGAGGCTGCAGTGACTAGAGGTGGCTCCGGCTCTTGTCTGTGCCCTGGGACCTGGGGCTGAGGATGGGAACAGAGGTCCTGCTGGGGCCATTCTTGCAGCCTGGGCAGACCAGCTTTGTGTGTTGCAGGCAATGCCCTCTGACAGCACCCTCTCCCCCAGGACCCCACCCCTGCTGGCCCCTGGCCTGGCCCTGACCAGCTTGTCAGCGATGTGGTCCATGATGCTGGCATTGTAGAGGCGGCGGCGCTGGTCCGGCCACCAGCTCTTGATGTAGATGCAGGGCTTTCGCTCCAGGTAGGGCAGATGGAAGTAGTTCCTGGGGTGGGCAGAGGTGGGAGGTGAGGTCTTGGGGGCCCAGGGAGGTGGGAGGGCCAGGCCACAGGGGGATGGGAGGTTGGACCCACCTGTCGGTGACCAGGGGCCGCATTGGTGGGGTGGAGGAGACTGAGGCCAGGTCCCCGCCATCGCTGGCCTCGTCGTCACTCGAGTTCTGAATCAGGTCTACTTCTTCCTCATCCCCAGGCTCCTTCCGGGGCTGAGGCCGCTGGGGCCGGGACAGGCCATCAATTTCGTTCCCATAGTTGCCTGGAGGCAGAACGGGCCCAGAAGGCCTAGAGTGTGTTCCCCCCCAGGCCCCTCCCACAGTCCAATCCGGTGCTGCCTTGGATTTGGGAAAAGGAAGAGGGAGAGTCAGGGAATGGGGCTCAGATGTGACACAGCATTAGCCCGAGAGAGGTGCCCGTGTTCCCACTCTGCTGAGAGTCAGGGAGTCCTGATGATACCTGAGTGCAAGGAGGCCCAGCCCTGGCCCAGGCCGCAGCCTGAGTTCCCACTCTCTCCTCTGCAGCCCAGGGAAGGGCCTCTCCTCGCCCTCTGCCCCAGGTCCCAAACACAGCCTCACCCTGTAGGTGGAGCTGAGGGTCGGCCCCTTTATGGAGCATGGTCTACCACATGCACACATAAAGGTGTTTCTTGGGTGCTTGAGGCCTCTCAGGGGAAAGGGGTCAACATCCCCTACAGGAATGAGGACAGGGCTGAGGTGCAGAGCCTCACACTTACCACCTGCAGCCTAGGCCTGAAGCCCCCCATGGGCCCAGCACTCACCTACACCTGAAGCCCCCCATGGGCCCAGCACTCACCTACACCTGAAGCCCTCCGTGGGCCCAGCACTCACCTACACCTGAAGCCCTCCGTGGGCCCAGCACTCACCTACACCTGAAGCCCCCTGTGGGCCCAGCACTCACCTATGGTGACCTCAAAGGTGATGGGCTTGTCTCCATTTCTCCGGTCAATCATTGAGGCCTCCAGGAAGGCTCCAAAGAGAAAGAATTCTTCCATTTTCCCTGCACAGCTCTGTGGGGAGGCAGTTCAAACCATTCTTGAGCTTGAGTAGGGGTGGAAGGTCGGGGGCCAGGCCTCCTTCCATCTCACAGACAGGCCCTGGGGGTGGATGGTGGGGGCATCCCACCCAGCTTTGGGGCCAGGCAGCCCACACCCCGATGGCCCTCCAGCCTGGATATCCATGGAAACAGGGCTGGCTCCAGACACCACAGGGACAGCCATGGCTGGGAAGAGGGGTGGAGGGGAGGCACCGTCGTGAGACCTGGTGGCCGTCGTGAGATAGAGCACAGGCAGGCAGTGAATGAGGGCAGAGTCCTATTGGGGGGCTGAGTGGGGGCCTCTGCTTCCTGGCGAGGAGCCTCATCCTTTGGTCTGACTCCTCCGGTAGACAGGGCAGCAACAGGCCAAAGTCTGGGACCCAGGTGTTTTGGGGGGAAGGAGGCTGAACTGGAGGCCCTGGGGGACAGCACAGTGCCTGGGGTCTCACCTCCGAGATGGGCGTGGCCTGCTCCACCTGCACCTCTGTGGAGCTGGTAAGCTCAGGGTTGGAGGTGTCCAGGATCTCCACGGCCAGGCCCAGCAGGAGCCGGGCCCGGAAGGACACACCCTCCCCCAGGCCCTCGTTCAGGTCCTGGTGCTCGTCCAGCAGCGTGTAGTTACGTGTGGAGCCGTACATGTTCACCCAGGCTGGACCCAGTGTGGGCAGGAAGCCTGTGGCAATGGGGAGAAAAACGAGGGAGCTGTATCACATCCAGGGTTCCCTGGGGAAGAGGGGCCTCTTTTGGGGGTCCCTGGCCTCCAGCTCCTGCGTGCTGAGCTAAGAACTTCATGTGTGTTATTCAGATGTGGGGCAGCCTTCTTATACTGTGCTGGGGTGGAGTACTCTCTTGGGTCTATTTCTTCCCTGCGGGGGCCTGAGCTGGAAGTGGTGGGGAAGCAGAGTATAGCTTTCTGCTTCCTGCAACTTGGAGTAGGAATTGCCAACAGTCTATTTGTAGGACAGAGCTAGTCCTTCCAAGTCCCCAGCATGACCTTCGGTTCTGTGCCATTTTTGCAGCTCTGTCCCACCATGGTCACCCTGCTGGTGCAGACCCCTCCCTTCCTGTCCATCTGTGCCTGTGAAATGCTGCTTCCTCACGAAGCCTTCACAATTCCTAGGCACAAGTCCCTTCTCTTATGGCTAAGATCTGTCAGGACTCTGACAGGGGTCGCAAGATCTGGCTTTTTTGGTTCATTTGCTTTTTATTCTGCCTTTTTTAAAAAACACACTTATAGTATTTTAAAAATTTAGATATACTTCACATGACATAAAATTTGCCATTTTAAAGTGTACATTTCAGTGGTTTTTAGTATATTCACTATGTTAAAAACCATCATCTAATTCCAGAACAGTTCCACCCCCTCAAAAGAAACTGCACCTATTTAGCAGTTGGTTCCAATCCCCTCCCATTAGCACCTGGAAACCAGCAATCTACTTTCTGTCTCTGGATTTGCCAGATGTTTCCCATACATGGATCAGACAACATGTGGCCTTTTGTGTCTTCTGCCTTATGTTTTGACCATCTGGTAGCACATCTATCTCCTTAATACACAGTGAGCACTTTGATCCAGGAATAGATTCTTATCTCACTCTATGTCCTTGGAACCCACCACAGGGCAGGGATCCTAGGAGGTGGTCAGTCCCTGCGAGTCTGCAGATAGGCACTACTATTAAGTACTACATATATACACACTGTAATTATATACAAATGCAGTATATACACTGCAATGATATGCATATTCATACGATAATTATTATATCATATAATCATTATTATTTTCACTTTAAAAATGGGAAAACAGGTCACACAACTACTAACTGTCAAATCCAATCAGCTGGGCTTAAGCCAGCTCTGAGCCGACCTGAGCCACAAATCCACACCCTCCCCTTGAGGCAGGGGCTGCTGGCAAGGCCCTGGAAGCACATGTGAGGCTGAGGTCCGGAGTTGATGGTGGTGGTGTGAAGAGAGGGGGTCTCACTTACTCCTTCCCTTCAGGCCACTCCCTGCCCCCCAGCACACCCAGTCTCCTGCTGCTGACCTTTGTCTCCATCATTAGAAATCTTGCGCAGGTCAATGAAGTGGGTGCCGATGGCCACGTCATTGACCTTGTCCGAGTCTCGGATCTGCACCTTCATGCGTTTGCAGAGTGGGGGAAAGAGGTCTGTAAAGACCACCTGCTCATTCCACAGGGGCTCATAGCTGCTCTTCTGCACGGAAGTCTTGCCCTGGTGGAAGGGGGAGCGTGGGTGAGGGCGAGGCACGTGTGTGTGAGTGGATGCATGTGTGCGTGTGAGAGTGGGTGTGTGTCTGTGTGAGTGGGTGCATGTGTGCGTGTGTGAGTGGGTGCATGTGTGCGTGCATGTGTGAGTGGCTGTGTGTGTCTGTGTGAGTGGGTGCATGTGTGTGTGTATTACTGGGCGCATGTGTGCATGGGTGAGTGGGTGCACATGTGCGTGTGTGAGTGGGTGTGCGTGCGTGTGTGAGTGGGTGCATGTGTGCGTGCATGCCTGTGTGTGGACTTGTCTTCACTCTTCCCACACCCCCAACCTCTCCTCCCTCTCATGCCCCCTGCGTAGCTCTCAGTCTAAGGACTCCAGGAGGCAGGGAGGATCCTCTAAGCCTATCCCTGGCCGACATGATTTCCAGCCTTTTCTTACCTGCCCAGCTGCCCCATGCCCCATGCCCATCAGCCTGCACTTGTGATGCCTGTCACCCAGCCCCCGCCTCCTGTACCTCATACCCCAGTACCTTCTGGCCAGCAAAGAAGACTTGCACATAGGGGTCCACGAGGTCCTTGTTTTCACCGATGAAAGCCTTCTTTACATTGGCCATGAGGCTTGTGTTCATACGGGGCAGCCCCTCTGCTCGGTAAATTTTCACATAGAACCGGGCCCACTGGCGTTCGGGGGGCACCCCCTCGGGGAGCAGCAAGTTCCTGCCAGCACATACAGCCAGGGCCATTGTGGTCGGGCCCAGGTCCCCAGCCCCCGTCCTGGCATCTACACACCCCTGGGTCCTGGCAGTCTCTAAGGGACGGCTGGGGGAGCTAGGCTGGGATGAGACACTTGCGTTCATGGAACTTGCCCCTTGTGGAATTCTGGGCAAATCTCCCGTCTCACTGAGCTGCCATTTCATCACTGTTGAGGTGGCTGTAGTAATACCCACCTCCCAAGTATATGGTCGGCTCAAGCACACTAACACATGAGTGCTTTGTAGATTGTGCACTGGGATATGGTCTTAGTATTATCATCAGTGTTTTATAGTACTGTGCCGTATCTTTTGTTTCGTAAACAAAAACTTCATAGTAGCCACTCTCTCTCCTCCAGCTCACAAAAACAGGATTCATTGATCCCAGCACTTTCATCCACTGACTCCAGACAAGGTCACAGAATATTTCTCAACAGCTGCTATCAGCTGCCTGGAATTGGCACACCAGAAGAAACCGTGGCTCTCCCAGCGCTATCCTGCTGCTGTACTCAGGACCCAGCAGCTGCTGGCTCTGGTCTGCCAGCATTGACTCTTCCCACCCCATTTCTCACTGGCAGAAAGGATGTCAAAGGACTGTTATTCTCAGTCATCCTCCATCACCCGCTGCCCCTGCCCTGCCTCGGAAGAGTGGGGCTGTTTGGGAGAGTGGGCGAGAGCAGGGTGAGGGAGATGGGTGGCAGGTACTCTGAGCAAACCCTCATCGGGAACTCCCTGGGGGAAGGAAGGGCTGGCTCAGACTTCAGGGGCTGGGGTAGCTGGGCCTCACCCCTCAATGTCATCTTCGTCGGTCTCATTGGCCTTGTGGGGCGTCTTGATGTTGTCCCCTTTGCCCACCACGGCGACGTCACACTTCACGTAGCCCTTCAGCCCCGAGGAGATGTCGTCGGGGTCTGACAGGATGGCCCACTTGTGATGGAACTGGTGCTCTGCAGTGGTGAGCGGGGGAGCACTGCACCAGACCCCCCAACCCAGGGCGTCTCCCAGTGCTCAGGGGAGGCCAAGGGGTGGCAGAGCCAAATGTTCTCTTGGCCCCTAGAGTCCCGAGACCTGGGACCACGGCTCTGCCTGTCCCTAGTCCAGGGGGTGATAGAGTCTGAGGTCCTCTGGAGCTGGGGCAGTGGGTGGATGGCCCAGCCATGGACATACGTCCCATGAGTGGTGTGACTTGGAAGTGCGACAGCCTCCTCCTAATTGGGTTCTTTCTGCCTATGGCCTCTTCTATGGCCCCACCCCAGTCAGCTAGCCTTCACATAGCTGTGAAGGACACAGCTGCCCACAGGGCCTTCCCAGGTGGAGAGGCTCACGCTCCTGCTCCCCATCTTCAGCTCCTTCTGGGGCTTCCCAGTGCCTTGGAGTAAAGACAAAAGGCACGGCCTGTGGGCTCCTGATTTAGTGCTCCCTGACTCACTCTGCTGAGCCCACCCAGCCTTGTGTTCCTCCTTGCTGAACATGTATTGCGGATTTGCCCTTTTATACCTCCATGCCTTTACATCTGCTGCTCTTTGAGCTTGGAATGCCCTCATTCCTGCTCTCTCCACCTCCATCTCTCTCTCTCCCTGTTCAATTTGTAAACTTCTACTCATGTTGCTCAAGTTTCTCCTCCGTGCAGCCCTCCCTGACTTCCTCAGAAGAGTTGATCCTGGGCTCTTTGGTGTTTGTTCTCTGTGCTCTCTGTGCACATTTCCCATCTCACTGTGCACTGTGCCCATCTGGGCATTGTTTGTCTCTGATTTTAGACTGAGAGTCTCCTAAAGACAGGGACTGGCAGTCTCATCCCAGTGTCCTATGGCCTACGACTGTGTGGAGGGAAGGACAGATGTCAGGGAAGGAGGCACTTTAGGAAGGATTTGCTCCTTCAGGTTTACTTTAAGCCCAGTGGGCAAGCACAGGGAAGCGCATCACTGTGCCTTAGGAATCTGCTTCCCAGGATGTTCTGTGGGCACCGAACTCTCTGGGACTCAGCACCTCCCTCCTTCACTCCCTCCTCTTCCACCTTCTACTGTAGCCCAGGCCTGCGTCCTGCAAGCCTGTGGCCCTGGTGGGCTCCCGGAGATGTTAGGGGCTGTGTGCAGAGGTTGGCCTTTCTGAGAATAGCCAGGCCACCAGTGTCTCAGAAAAGATAATGCCACAGTAGAGTCTGAAGAGAGGGACGAGCAAGGCAAGAAGGCAGGAAGGCACATGGATGAGGAGTCACTGGAGAGCCTCAGCCAGGCCGGCAGGCCTCCGGGAGGGGCCATGTCCTAGGTATCCCAGGAACTTCAGGTCTTGCCAGAGCAGATGTGTGTCGGATGAGGAGATAGACAGATAGCTCAATAAATGGGTGCAGAAATGGGCAGAGGGATGGGTGGTGAGCTGCCTGGCTGGCTGACAGATAGATGGACAGATGGTGGATGGATTATTGGATAGAAGGAGCCATTAATATCTGGACAGGTGGGTGGGTAGATATATGGATGGGTGTGTAGATGGATGGATATATGGGTGGGTGCATCTGTGGATGGGTGAGTAGGTGGATGGATCTGTGGATGGCTGGGTGGGTAGATATATGAATGGGTAGGTGGGTGGATGGATGGATGTATGGGTGAGTGGGTGGATCTGTGGATGGGTGGGTGGGTAGATGGATTCGTGGATGGGTGGGTGGGTAGACCAATGGATATATGAGTGGGTGGGTGGATGGATGGATACATGGATGGGTGGGTGGATCTGTGGACAGGTGGGTGGATGGATTTGTAGATGGGTGGGTGAGTGGATAGATGGATACGGGGTAGATGTATAGAGGTGTGCATGGTTAGATGAATTGGGGACATTTAGAAAGGAAAGAGAATAAGATTCAGGAGGAATGTAAAATTTGCCTTCAAATTTAAAGGCTATTTTTCTTTTTGTCCTGAAAGAGAGACCTGTGAAAGTGGGTGAAGGTTACAGGGCAACAGATTTTGAGATGACCCAAAGAAAGTGAAGATATCTAAAATAAGAGGTAGTGAGTGCCCCATTTCTGGGAGGACTAAGTAAGGTTAGATGACCAATCAGAGATGGTGCTGTGGGGGTCCCTACATCAGGTTAACACTTGACTGATGACTTCTGAGGCCCTTCTAGTCTTAATACTGTGTGATCTCAGGCTAGAGATACAAGGACCACATGAGACCCTGAGCTATATGCTTACCAGCCTGAAACATCATTTCACCTCCCTTCAGCCTGGGGCTGACACCTGCCAGTCAAGGCTAGCCCAGCTGGGGTGTTGCTGCATCCCAGACCTCCTCTTTGATCTATGAGGATGAGTGTATAGCCCCGACTTCCTCTATGATCTATGAGGATGAGTGTATGGCCCCAACTTCCTCTATGATCTATGAGGATAAGTGTACGGCTATGGCCCCAACTTCCTCTTTGATCTATGAGGATGAGTGTATGGCCCAGACTTCCTCTGTGATCTATAAGGATGAGTGTATGGCCCATCCTCACTCCCAACAGAGAGTAGCAAAGAGTAAACAGTTTCCTGCTGTTGCATCTGGTGGTACAAATGACAAATGTGGTCCTGCCAGGGTAAGAAGAGTGTCTCTCGGGAAACCCCTTCCAGTTCCAAGAGATATTGACACCACCCAAAGCTTCCCAGCAGCACCCAGGAGTGTCTCTGGGAGCATGCTGTCCAACAGTGCCCTGGCTGGAACCAAGGACTCATCAAGAAGCCCCAGCCAAACTGGAGACATCAGAGTAAAGACACTGGGTCTCAACTCTAGGACCCGTGTGACTTCAGGCTCTTCTGTCCCTGAGAGGGCACCAGGCTTAGGGCTGGATTCAGCAGGAGCAGCGAATCTCAAGCTGGGTTACCTGAGTGGAGACCTGGGCTTTGGTCTCACCCAGACCTGGGCCCACATCCTGTTTCTGCTCCTTATTCACAGTGTGGCCCTGGACCAGCTCTTTAAGCCTGCTGAGCCTCAGTTTCCTTATGGTGAAATGGGAATGATGCCTACATGGGGTTGTGAGGGTGAGTCCTGCTGGGACAGTGAGCTTAGCCCAATGTCTGGTACTTACTGATGCCCTGGTGGTTTCCTCACCAGGACTTTACTACCCAGAAGCCCAGAGGTCCATATTAGATTAACCTCTGCCTTTTTCTCCACCCCCTGACTCTCTCTTGGCTCTTGGCCTCAGGCCCGCCAATGGTACCAGGACCACTGCTCAGCCCTGGGAGGAGCTCATCCTCAGGGATGCCAGTCATTCCACGCAAGTGGTCCACAGCTATGCATGCTTCCAGGGAAGCAACATGGCAGGAGGCCGACTCTTCCCTGCTCCCCACAGCACTGACAGTCAGCAGGGCTGCCCTCTGCTGAGGGCCATGGCATGTGTGGGGTGGCGGCAAAGGTACTGGTCTGGGAGCTGGAGACAGGGGTGCTACTCCCAGATGGTGGGCAAACCCCTTCAACACCCTGGGCTTCAGTTTATCCTCACAGAGGGGCTGGACTAGATGTTTTTCAGGTCTTGGGCAGCTTGAGTGTTCTATGATCTTGTGATTTTTATATGTATAATCTTGGTATTGGACTTAGATTCCCTGGTCTGAGTCACAGTTGTAATGTGTGCCAGCGGACATCTCTTAGGTTGACCACAAGTGATCACCAATTTGTTCAACTTACTAGTTTAGTGGTATCTCCAAGCCCCTTCATTTCTCTTAGCCTCATTTATCTCATTTACAAAATGGGAAGAAACGCTGCTGCCTACATTACTGTTTTGTGAGGGTCAAATGTGACAATTGGGTGAAATTATGTTGTCATTGTCAAAGGGACTAATGGGGTCATTACAGCACTCTGAGCAGTGCATTCACTTCAGGGACACGGGATGGCCCCTAACCTGCCCATGGGGTGAGCTGTCATCTGGCAGGCTGAGGCACTTCCTCTGCCTGGCCCACCTCACAAGCCCTCTGGGCCACCCATTGGGGTTCCCTTGCCAACCCCATTGGTGTTGGCCTACAGGACACCATGGAGCCCACATGGCTGCCCAAGAGCCTGGGGCTCTTGTAAGAAGTGTTTTCAGAGACCAGAGTCCCTCAGAGGCCACCACACTACATCTGGATTGAGAGCATCACCGCGTTCAGATTGGATAGTGAGTTCAGCGAGGCTCTGGGGACACGCAGCCTGACTTCACCCCTGACCAGCTGTGCAGCTGGGGCAAGCCCTGGCTCTGAGCCTCAACTGTAATAGGGGATGGCAGGGTCCTGTGAGGGGTGGAAGGGAGTTCCTTTCTGCTCAGCGGGTGCCAGCCCAGGAGGCACAGCCCCTCTGCAGGCTGTGACGGGTTTCCCTCACTGCATTCTCTACCACTACCCATCAGCCTGCCTGTGGCCAGTGATGCGTCAGCCTGCCATGCGCTCCTGAGCGTGCGATGGAGCTCCTTCCAGGCTCTGGGCGGAGTTACCGACCTAATTATGAATGAGAACCCACCAGACTGGGTGCGCAGTTGCTCACTGCATTTGTGTACAGACTGTGCGCGCCACTTCTCCGCAGGCCAGATGGCTGTGTGTACTAACAGTCGTCAGACTGTGGTCCTTGCCAGGCTTTTCCCAGGAACTGCCACAGCGGGAAGGGCCCTGTGCACTATGCTCCCTGAGCCGTGTACACCTCGACTGACTGGCCATGCGCAGGTACTCACCTGGCTGCGAGTACACGGTTCCCACGTCCATTTTGAAGGAGCCCACCAGGGTACCACTGCGTAGCAGGTTCTTGGAGTGAATCACCTTTCAGGCAGAACCACAGCCCACCCGTCAGGCCGGGCGAGAGTGAGGCCTTCCACGGGGCAGTGGTGGGACCTGAGCTTTATGATGAAGCGGGAGAGCGTTTGGCAGAGTGGGGTGGCTTGCTGAGGCTCAGCATCAGCTCCTCCTGCCCACGCCAGTTTCTCGCTGGCCACCGTGTACGGGCAAATACACTATTCAGAGGCACTGGATGAAAGGGGGTGGGTGGGGGCCAGAATCCACCCTGTGCCCCACTTGCTCAGCCATGTGTCTAGGCATGGCACTGCCTCTTTATGACAGGTCTAGACAGAGGGAGCTCCTCTCAAGTGTGCACAAAGGTGCAGTTTGAGGGAGTGGTCCTGCCTGCCAGGGGCTGCTCCCCACTCACCGAAATCTTGATGATCTTGTCGAACATGACATCAGGAGAGACATGGAAGTCGAAGACGAAGTACTGGAGAGGGGAAGGATCCGGGCCTGCTGTCACTGTGGGCAGCAGCAACAGCCTAGGCAGTGCTGGGCCCCTCCCTCCTCGCAGTGCCTGTCTGCACCCCAGCCATTTGCCCTGAGCCCCAAAGTTCAGAGGAGCAGCAGAGGCAACTCGTCTGATCCTGATTGACCCTGGTGGTGGGTGGTAGGAAGCAGAGCCCCATCCCCTAGGTGGAGCTGGTGCTGGCTAGTGTGGGGTGGGGAAGGAACTGGGAACAGTAGGTGGAAGAGCCTATGCCCTTGTACTGTGCTCAGAAGAGGCACAGGGCCAGGGAGCGAGGAGACCTGGGTTCTAGTCCCCGCTCTGCACCTTCCTAGCTGTGTGGCCTTGAGCAACACATTCTCTGAACCTCAGTTTCTTGAGCTGTGAAATGGGAATAATGACACCCACCTCAGAGTCTTGTTATGAGGCTCTGATGAGACAATGTAACATAATTTACCAAATCTAAAGTGGCTACTGGCTGTAAGATATACTACGGTTTAACAGGCCACATGGACATTGCCATGAAGCCACAAGGCTGCCTAGGAGACACATCCCAAATTCAGAGAGGTGAAGCTGTAAAATAACGCAAGCCTCAGAGCAGATGAACCATGGTGTGCCAAAGCACTTAGTTGGCAGTCCCTGTGAAATGCCATGGGCGTGCACTGTCCTTTGGTGTTGTGGGCTGCCATATGCATTTGCAGTCCCCATCTCTTCCCCTGGCCTGGGTGTGCAGGCGCTGAGGATGAGGGTGTGGGGCAGTAAGTAGAGGGGCTGCTGCTTTGGTGAACTGTGGTGGGGGAGAAAGGAGAAGAAAGGAGAAATGTTTCCAACGTGCTTAGGGTAAATGTTCGAAGAGAATGTGCTCCTGGCTGCGGGGGACTGGCCCTTGAGCGCTGAGGGTAAAGCTTCAGAGCCAGCCCCACCTGGCTGTTACTGCTGGGCCAATCACTTTCTTGCCTGAGCCTCAGTTTACCTATTATACTATGAATGTGGAGATATGATCCAGGGCTGTCGTGCTGAACTGCTCCAGGGGTGCCATTCACATGCGGTCTTCAAGGTGTGGTTGTGAAGTTGCAATGAGACAACCTGGTGAAATCTTTAACCCAGGTGTGCACCCACGGTAAGCACACGGTAAACAGGCTGTGCGCGACACTAACAGGCCCGGGGTGTGCTGGCCGGGGTTCTGAAGCTCTGGGGAGGCGGGTGGGGATATGGATTTGGAAATCAGCACAAGATGGTAACTGATACCTTAGGGATGGAGGAGGTACCTGGGGAGAGCATGGGAGGGGAAGTAGGCCCAGGTCAGGGCTCCAAGAGGCCATGGCCTTTCAGCCAAGAAGTCAGGCCAGGGAGATGGAACTGGAGAGACAGGGGAAGCAGGAGAGTGGGGTGAGGGGCCCCCAAGAGGAGCAGCAGGCAGTGGGATGAAAGAAACTGGGTGATCAAGGGAGAGGAGGAAGACATGGACATTATACTCAGAAACAGCAAGGTCCTTGGTGACCTTGAGGAGAGCAGTGTCAATGACATCTAGAGGCAGAAACCCTGCAGAGACTGAGGAGTGACTGCGGGGAGGAAGTGAGAACAAGCCAAGTGGTCTGACTGTGGAGGGGAGGAGGGAAAAAGGAGGTCACTGGAGAGGTGTGTGGGAATGAGGAAAGGCCCAGAGAGAGGTGACAGACTCCTAGTTCTTGTCCTTGAGCACACATGGGTCTTCATGGTTGTACTTAGCCTATGCTGGAGTAGAACACCTTATAGGCAAAGGAGAAGGGGCTGGAATAAAAACAAAGACAGAGTTGGGCTGTGCAATGCCAGGTTCTTTGAGCTGTAGAAAGAGAAGGATCCAAGGCAAAGGGGAGAGGTGGATTTTTGGCAGGAGGGAAGATGGCGGCACTCCCAAGATGCCCAGGGCGGGGCCTGATGCACACACAGGACACACAGAAAAGGAGCCTTAGTCTGGTTTGTGAATGGCCAGCTTGTTCTGGAAGGGCAAAGGTCGTGAGCTTCCCTGCACACAGGTAGGCTCAGGGCCAGGCAGGGTGATCAGGCCAGGTGCCCACAGCTGTGCCAGCCCCAGGGAAGCGAGTTAACTGAGCTAGGGCCAGAATCCTGAACTCTCTGAGCTGTCTGCAATCAAATTCCTGGTATTTCCTGAGCATATTTTCCTTTGGTAATAGCTTAGATACCTGCTAAGTCATGTTGATTGCTCCCACCTCCCTCTGTTGTTTTAATGGAGCCAAAGGAAGGTTCCTGCCAGCTCAGATAATTAGTCAGAAATAATACATTCCCACGACGAGGAGGATGCCCTTCATTGAAAAGGAATGTGGCATAGAAAGATAAGAAAAGGGAAAGAAAGCTTTGGGGCTGGAAAGGCTGATTTGGGGCTGGAAGGAATCATAGCAAGATAGTTTAGAATGGTGGTCTCAACTGGGGGCGATTTCGGGGGACATTTGGCATGTCTGGAAACAGTCTTGGTTGCTGTAACTAAGGGGAGTTGTTATTGGCATCTACTGGGTAGAGGCCAGGGATGCTGCTCACATCCTACACAGCACAGGACAATCCCACCACAATTATCCAGTCCAAGATATCCACAGTGCTGAGTTTGAGAAACCCTGGTTTAGAGGAAACAGAAACAAAATCAGAGCTATTTAGGTTTGTGAAAAAGAACAAAAATGTGATCAGAGACACATTTAAAATCGTCTGAAGATGAGCAGAATGAATAGTCTTAGAGGATATAAATAGGGAATTTAGAAAGATTCTAGGCTGAAACGAGGAAGGGACCTGTGCAGGGTGGAAACTGTGCCTCCTTCATCTCAGCAGCCTCCATCTTGCCCCACGTGCCACCGTCTGGCGTGCGGCAGATGCTCCGTGGATGTTTGTGCCTTCCTTTGGGTGAGTGTTACTGAACCCCTCCGAGTACATGCCTGGCTCTGAACAAATACAGCGAGGCAGGAGATGGGGAGCCTCCAGTCCACCAGGAGGACAGAGACACAGAGGACCAACCTCAATTCTGGGACATTAACACTGCAGAGAAAGGGGAGTGCTGACCTCTGACCCAGACACAGGAGGCAAGGCTGCTCAGTAGTAAGAACATTTGAGCTGGGCTCTGCCAGGTGAGTGGGAGTTTTCTGGAGGAGCCACAGAGTGGGGAGAGCAGCTCTGTGCCCTTGGGAAAGAGGAAGTAATTTGAATGAAACCCAAGGTGCGTGGGTCTGGTGGAGGGAGATCCCTTAAGTCAACAAAAGTGGCTTCACTGCTATCGAATAACCACAGGGGCCACGGGGACCTGTCTCCATGCCTGTCATGGGGACACAGATGCTTTTCTAGGCAGAGGCTTGTCCAGTCAGGATGTGTCCTAACGTAAGGCCAGAGATGTCAATCCTGAATGTCCTTGGGGCCGGAGGGGTCCTGAGCAGGTTGTCCAGCTCTGGGGGCCTGTGGGAAAGCAGCTGGGAGAGCAGAGTTGATTTGTGGTCACAAAGGAGGGTTCGGCCAGGCCTGGGCTGAAGGGCAGAGGTGGGCCTGGGTTTTCTTCCTGCAGGTGCACAGTCCAAGGACTCTCAGGGCGGCCTGAGAAATGCCCTCCCCCAAGCTACAGGGGACACCTCAGTCCCCACCCACCTCAGGGTATGGGACTCAGCTGCCTTACTTGGGCCAGCCTGGCACCCCTCACTGCCTAGAGCCACCAGGAGAAACAGACTGGGGAACCCTCCAGGAAAGGGATGGCAGAGCCCAGGCTAGTGGCTTCTGGGTTAGTCTGATGTGTGCTCAGGCATCTGGGAAAGGCCTGGGCATCCTGGTGAGAAAACATTTTAAATGGCCCATTTTCAAGACATGATAAGTCTAAGTACTGGCATCCAACCTGCGAATGTAACAAACCACATGGCTTATGCACCTAGGCCACAATAAGCGAACAGAATGTAGAGGAGAGGTCAGCCCATGAAAGGGAAAAAGGTTTTGTTATTGGGAAATTGAAACTTAAATGGGGAAGGGGAGTCGGGTATAACCTTATAAGGGGGAAAATGAAGCTTAGGCGATGTCAGGGAAGATTGTAACCCCATAGTACTCGACCAATGGGGAACTGGGGGAGGGACATGCATGCTAGGAGATAAATTACATGTTGTGACTGCCCCGGGTGTGCCTGCCTACCAGACACTCCATCTTTCAAGACCGTTATTAGAAGTCTCACTTTCGCTGTTCTTCATGCCTCTAAGTCCATTCTTTGGGTTTGGATGAGTGAGTGTATTTCTCATATCCCTCCCCAGAGCTGATTATGATGGGGTCCTGTTTGGAGCCTGGGAACCAAGGTGCCACATTTGTGATGGTGGCCAAAGCCCTGGGCTGGAAGCTGGGTGGGCAGCCTGGCCCCTGCTCCATCAGCAACACTCTCTGAGATTGTGGGCAAGGCCCTTCCATATGGATCCTCAGTATCCTCCTCTGTAAGATGGGGAGATTGGAGTAGAGGGTCTCTGACCTCCCTCACCCTTGATGTGGCCTCAAATGGCTGGAAAGAATAGGAGTGGGTACCAAATGTTTTCTCTCTGACACCCCAAAGTCAAGGCCAGTGCTCTGGAGGGAAACCCACAGAAGTTCAGGCAACCATGAAGGAGCCGAGCCAAGAAGGCAGAACCCCACCAGCATGCCAATGGCAATGCTGGCACTGTGAGGTTGGACAAGGTCTGCCTTCAGAAGTCTCACTGTCCCCTTGTGTAAAAGGAAATTGATAGTGACAACTTCGGATGGTCCAGTTCAGAAGCAATTAGGAGCATGCCTGGCTGGTAGAAAGTGCTTACTAATGGTGCCAGTGTCGCCGTGGGTTGAAATGAGGCAGCCCTGTCCTTGGGCTCTGGCCTGGAAAACAGTGGGGACCAGGCCTCCTGGGGAGTGGGGTGGGGGCAGTTCTTTCACAGGCACTGCTGGGGTCTGCACAGGGGCACCCAGGTGGTGCACACTTCAAAGACCAGTGTCAGTCTGCGCTCTAGACTGGGGGGTTCAGAGGATTCAGAGGATGTGGCTCTGTTTGTCAGTGTCCTGGGGGTTGTAACAGGGTGAGTCACCCCTGCTGGTAGCTGTGTGTGCTCCTTGACTCCCAGCCACTCCTGTTTCTCCTGGGGAGGACTGGGACCCACCCTCCTGCCACATTTACAGAGGCTCCTTTCCCCACAGGGCCACTGACCTCGTTGTAATAGGGGCAGTTAGTGGACTCCTTCATGGACGTGTACTTCTTGTCGTCGCCCACCTCCACGCACACCACGGGGTCCATGTTCAAGCCCACCAGCTGCCGGGCCTCGATCACCGTGATGCTGACCTATAGGCAGGAGAAGGGGAAGCCAGAAGGAAAGCTGCCTGAGCCTAGGAGCCCAGTTCCGCAAAGGTCCAGGGGCTGGGGCAGCAGAGTCAGAGTGAGGGCCCGGGAGCCAGCGCTGGCCTCCAGACTCCACTCTGACCACTGCCTCTCATCTGCTGGGTGATCCTGGGCTCCTTCTCCTTCCAAGCCTCAGTGTCTTCATTTGTAGAGGAGTATGAGTTGGCTAACCTCTAAGTCAGTGTTCACTAGACTTAACTTGCTGGGCCGGAGGGAGGGAGAGGCATTAAAAACCCTGATGCTCAGGCCACCTCCAGACCAATCCAATCCAATCCTGGGGCATGCAGCTCAGGCATCTGTATTTTTATTTATTTTTAGTTTTAGTTTTTTGACAGAGTCTCACTCCGTTGCCCAGGCTGGAGTGGAGTGGCATGATCTTGGCTCACCACAACCTCTGCCTCCTGGGTTCAAGTGATTCTTCTGCCTCAGCCTCCTGAGTAGCTGGGATTACAGGCGTGCACCACCACACTGGGCTAATTTTTGTATTTTTTATACAGATGGGGTTTTGCCATGTTGGCCAGGCTGTTCTCAAACTCCTGGCCTCAAGTGATCTGTCTGCCTCGGCCTCCCAAAGTGCTGGGATTACAGGCGTGAGCCATCGTGCCCGGCCTGGCATCTGTATTTTTAAAGCTCCTAGGTGATACCAAGTGCCCTACATTCTTCCCTAGCGTTGATGTCTCTGCTTCAGAAAGAGCTGCCAAACCCGTGTCATAGGTTTCATGCACTCAGGAATAAAGCTTTTAAAGTCTTCATTAACTTGCATTTAATTTCCTGCTCCAGGAATTCTCATGTAAGCCTGCAAGCCTCTGATATGTCTTTGCGTTTCTGGAATTTGGCCCGCCCTTTCCACATTCCTGCCCCTTCTCCTTTTGCTGAATTTCTTTGTTTGAATGGCCAGTGTGGCTTTGGTGCCTGCCTGAGCCGCCTTTTTCAGCCTACTGATTATATGTTGTATATGCACTCTGCTGTGTCCTTTACATGGCATCCAGCTCTCTGCAATCTTACTTATATCCTGGGAAGCCCTTTTTCAGTTGTTCATTCATGCAACAAATGTTTCTTGGAAACCTGCTGGAGCCAGACACAGGTGGGATTGCAACAAATTCTTCCTTGTGGAGCTTACCACAATGATTAATGGCTTTTTTTTTTTTTTCACAGTGAGTCTCTCTCTGTCACTCAGGCTGGAGTGCAGTGGCGTGATCTTGGCTCACTGCAGCTTCCACCTCCCTGGTTCAAGCGATTCTTTTGGCCCAGCCTCCCGAGCAGCTGGGATTACAAGCACGTGCCACCCTGCCTGGCTAATTTTTGTATATTTTTTAGTAGAGATGGGGTTTTACCATGTTGGCCAGGCTGGTCTTGAACTCCTGACCTCAGGTGATCTGCCTGCCTTGGCCTCACAAAGTGCTGGGATTACAGGCACGAGCCACTGCACCCAGTCGATTATTGGCTTTTTAAGATAAAAAGATATAAGGAGAGAGAGAGACAGAGAGAGAGCCAGAGTACCGGTAATTTTTGACTTCACTACTGCTTTTCCCGAACGCTCATTTTAAGCCACCAGGTCTCATTTGGATTTGGAGGTGTCAGTTCCTGTCAGGGTGGCCGTGGTAGGATAGATAGAGGCATGTACTGGGGGTTGCTGAACTTGGCATTGAACCCCAGACCTGAGATGTTGCCAGGTGTGAGAGCAAATGACCACATAGCCTTGTGTTATTCAGCTACTAGCAGAGATACCAACTACCCGTAAGGTTGTGTGCAGGTGAAATGAGATCATGTGTGTCAAAATGCATCCTCAACGGCAGAAAGCTCTATAAAATGTGAGTGACTCCAGTAGAATCTCCCTTCAGCTAAGCAGGTGATCTCTCAAGTAGGTGAGGCTGTGCATGATACTTAGAATGGTTGATTCACTTGCCTCTCTCAAACATGTGTTTTAACAGAAAAGTCTTTCCCCAGCTAGAATAAGTGTGGACCTCAGTACATTCTTCTTCTTTTTATTTTTTTGGAGACAGTCTCACTCTGTTGCCCAGGCTGGAGTGCAGTGGCACGATCTAGGCTCACTGAACCTCCACCTCCCGGGTTCAAGCTATTCTCCAGGCTCAGCCTCCCGTGTAACTGGCATTATAGGTGCCTGCCACTGCATGGCGTATTTTTGTAGTTTTAGTAGAGATGGGGTTTCACCGTGTTGGCCAGGATGGTCTCAATCTATCCTCGTGATCCACCTGCCTCGGCCTCCCAAAGTGCTGGGATTACAGGCATGAGCCACCGCGCCCAGCACATTTTTCTAATGAGACTCTGAAGGCTGCTCTTCATGCCTGTCATCTTGGAGATTTCATGTTTTAGTTGTGCTTTGATGCAACTTCTAAACACAACTTTATTCGAGAGAATTATCTTCCCTTTTCATGAAAAAGAATAACCACTAAAATGATCATCCAGTATCCATCAAAGTCTGAAACATATCCTGAGGGCAACGAAAAATCTACACATTGGAAGTAATCAGGTTAAGGAAATAGAAATTCCGATATTAATGAGAACATTGCCAGGAAATGGGATATTTACAAATGAAGTGACACTTGAACTAGGAAGCAAACATTTCTGTTTCGAACGTGAAGTGCCAAAGGGACAGAAGTAAAAGCTTAGAATCTGGAGCTTCACAGAAGTTCAATATTCACCACTCCTTCAGGGAGATAAAAAGGAAATAGGACTAGTTAACTTAGCTCTGAGAAGTTTACTGTGAAGAGAGCAAACAGACACTAGAAGTCCTCCTTTGCACACTAGTTTATAGAGTTTTAACTTCCACGATCACTTTTTTGCCAAAGATTTTTAAAAACCCCATGAATTTTTCCGCAACTCATACCCCCACCAACAATAAAAAAGGCTTTCTGTAACTCAAGACTGGGAAGCGGACAGACGCAGTTTTGGCATCTGCCAAAGATAAGCCAGTGGCAAGTCTCCTTCCCACTGCCAAGAGAATGGTTAAGTTTTATGTTTTCCATCTCGAGGCATGGCCATAGGACAGGCTACTTGTCCCTGTCCCCCATTTCAGGACTCATACATATCTCCCTTCCTCCATGGAGCAGAATCAGTGAAGGTGACAACCTGGACAGAAGCTCCAGCAGTAGAGGCGGAGGGTGGAGGGGGAGGTGGGCAGAAACTTGAAGGAGCAATGGAGGGAAGAGAAGCTCCAGAGGGTGCTCATTGCTGGTTGAGGGGCAGCCCCGAGAGGAAGCTGAGGGCGCTGAGAAAGACCACCATGTGCATGGTGTTGGGGGAAGGGGAATGCCATTCCTGCTGCCTCCTACCCCGCCTGGGGCCGTAGGAAGGGGAAATGATGCTTTTGAAATAAAAAATAAAAAACAGCTGGTCATTCTCCAGGGTTCTGGGGGAGGGGCTTGGCCATCCTTCTCTCCAGTCATCAGCAGAGGACTCTATTTTCCCAGGGTGGAAGATGAAGAGGCAAATGGAGCCACAGCTGGGACCAACTGACCAGCTGACTATTCCACCATCTCCTTTCAAGATAAGGGACATACTCCCCAGTGGCTTGATGAAAGCGATCACAAGGAATAATGCTGAGTGGCAAATCTATACCCCTGTCCTGGGGAAACCCAAGAGTAACGATGCTTTGCGGCCTGCTTCCTAGGGACCTGATCCAGCTTCAAGAGCATCCGCCGGGAGCTAGAGATGAGAGTTGGTGTGCCCTTTAGTACTGCCCTTCTGCAACATCCGTTACCCACTCCCCACTTTTCCAGGTGGCAGAGATGTGACATGACCAGATTTGCATTTTCAGAAGATTGCTCCAGTGCTGGCATAGAGGTTGGAGGGGAGGAGGCAATATGGGGGCAGAGAGACCAGGTAGAAAGTGGGTATAAGCATGCAATTGAGGCTGGGGACCTCAGGTCAGCGGCAGGGGCATTAAATGGAGGTGAAAACTGGAGAGATGTTGGGTGACAATGTATTAAGTCTTGGTGCCAGGAAGAGAGGGTAATGAAGAGACTCAAGACCCCTTGACCCACCAAGAACATGTCTGCCAAGTGCCAAGCATTGCTCACTCTGGTGGGGAAACTGTACATTCACAGGGGATGACTGTGGTTTCTTGCCTTGGAGATGGCAATAATCAGGAAAGAGTTTACATGTGACATGCATTCTAAATGGAAGAAACAAGGAGCATGGGAATGCCACGGTCCTTTTATCTCCAGGCTTCTTTCAGTGCCATAACCTTTAGAATGGTCCTGAACCCTCATAACCCTTCCTGGAGCTGAGTTCAGCTAAGTCTCCCCTCCTCTCACCAATGAGATGTCCTTCCTGAGGTCTTTATAACTCATCAAACCCAAAGTCTCCAAGAGACTGAAGTTGCATCTGGTTTTATTGCTTTTTATTATTTACTTATAATTTTCTTTTGAGACAGGCAGGGTCTCCCTCTGTCACCTAGGCTGGAGTACAGTGGTGCAGTCTCGACTCACTGCAACCTCCACCTCCCGGGTTCAAGCGATTCTCCTGCCTCAGCCTCCCAAGTAGCTGAGATTACAGGTATGCGCCATCATGACTGGCTAATTTTTGTATTTTTAGTAGAGACGGGGTTTCACCATGTTGGCCAGGCTGGTCTTGAACTCCTGGCCTCATGCAATCCACCCGTCTCGGCCTCTAAAAGTGCTGGGATTACAGGCATGAACCACCGCGCCCGGCCTGGTTTTACTGCATTATACATTGTATGTATTGGAAGTGAAAATAATTTCACATTTGCATCCTCATAGCTCTCTCTCAAATGTTTGCAAGGTGAGCTGTGAATGAACTTGTCAGGAAACACTGTGCTACCAGGTTAAATACAACAACTGTTTTGTTCAGTTCGGTTTAAAAAGTCTTTGGAGGGGACAATGTTTGGTTCAGTTAATAAAAATCTCTGGTGGGAAGCAGTTTGAAAAGATTTGGAAAACAAGCACTAAGTAGCAAGATGAAGATGAACCAGGTACCCGAAGGGAGCAGCTGTCTAGAAGGCTTGATATAGAGAAGTCAATTGTTCTGATGGCTGTGGCCAGATACCCCTGGCCTTGAACCCTGGCTCTAGCCTTAGCTAAATGTGGCAAGGACCTGGGACAAGCTCCTGACCTTCCTGGGGCCTCACTTTCTTACCTATAAAATGCAGTAACACGTATATTTGGGTGGTTGAAGAATTACATTAACTTTAATGGAAACACATTTATGGCTCCTAGCACAGTGCCTGGCATAGCATAAACCTTCGAAAATAAGTTTCATGAACGATAATGACTGTATTTTTGATGTGCCCTCACCTCTCAGGCCAGTGACATCATCTCTGAGTTGGGGTCTTTGTTCTTTGGAAATTTCCTGTTCTCGGGACACAGAGAAACAAAACCCTGAACGTAATCCCTTGGAAAAGCCTTTGGAAGTCTCAGGACACTTTGTGTTTTGGGTTTTGGCAGAGGTGAGGGGGCCAGAATTCTCAAACCTCTAAGAAACCCAATGGCTTAAAGTTGTTTAAAACCACAGGGGCAGGTTCACTTGACATTGCCTGTGGCTGTTTTTCAGGCACCTGGGAAGACAGGTGCTGAGTAGGTGGAAACTAACTAAAACAAAGATGAAGGGAGATGAGGTATATTCTGGAGAAAACGGCCAGATGTATCTTTTACATAGAAAAGTGCCGTCTTATCCTTTCCTTCATCACCTGAGTGAGGGGAGGTGGGGTTCTCTGTAAAGAAGGGTTGGTGTGCATGGGGTCTGGGAACTAGGTATCAAAGATAAAACTCTGGTAGACGGGGCTCACTCAGATTCTGGGGCCTGGTGCTGATACCCAGACAGAGCATATCCAGGACAGAAGTGCAGTGGCAGCCAGGTGAGATCTCTTGCAAGCCCTGTCCCCTCTGAGCAGCCAGCATTCTCACTCAATGCTAGCAATGCCCAGCAGTCTTCTGATTTACAGCTGAGTCTTGTTAGCCTCCAAGGGAGGGTCTGGAGCAATGGAGGGTCCCTGGGCCTTTCCTGAGAGATGGTGTCCCAGCAGCCACCAGACATGCTCATCACCTGTCCTGCCTGCACTGTTGGCCACATTCACATTCTCACAGCTAGCTGTCAACCTCTCTTTGTCTCTTTGTCTCAGTCTTTTGTCTCCAGTCTTAGAAGCACACAAATAAAAAAGTTGTGTTAATCTCATAAAATACAGAGAAGCAAAAAGAAGAACAAAAAATCACTCACATTCTCACCATCCAGAGATAACCAGAATCGACATTACTTCCAGCAATCAAATAATACAAAACAACAATTTAAAAATCATTCCAGGAAAACTTTCTTCCAAGGCCCTTATTTTAACACTTTGAATACTTTTTCTTTGTAATTCTCCTTGGTCTCTTTATGGTTTTTCTAGGTGCTTCTCACTTTATGAAGTCCAATGCTGAACATGAAATACTGGAAGGGCTTTGATTAGCATAGGCAGAGTTCTCAAGCTTTTCTTTGGGTTTGTATCTCTCTACTGATGGTATTTCTAGGAATGCCTCCCAGGAACAAGCTTACTTTGGAAACATATTCAGCTTGTGGTTCTCTATGACCCCTGGATCCATGCCTCAATATATTGGATAATGCACATCCAGCTAGAATCCCCCAGTAAAGCAGAGTCTGAAAGACATGAGGCCTCCAGGTGCCCACCTACCTGGTAATCCATGGGCCGCCCAGCACTTGGCTCCATCTTAATGTCTGGCTTAGATCTGAGGAACAGAATGTATCATCAGGCCTGGTGTATGGGGACTGCTTGTGGGGGAGGAGGGCATGGGCAGTGGTTAGACCTGGGAGTGGGCAGAGGGACAGAATCGTGGTCTTTAAACACTCAAGCACTGCCAAGAATAGTGGGGATTAGTTGCCTTCAGAGGCCTCGACACAGAGAACTAATCAAAGGCAGAAGTAACAGGGAGACAGACGTGGGGTCAATAGCTTCAAATATGGGGTGGGCAGGTCTGTGGCTTCCTTGGGCTGGGAGGTATTCAAAGACCTGAGAAAAGGCCTGCTGTGCTCTGCTTTTGCAGGGAGAGAGGTGAGAGAAACACCCAAGAAAAAGCAGAAAAGGGTAAGATTAGGTTAGGAAGAAGCTGTCCATGGGCCCTGATTCTTCCCTACCCAAATTTCAATCATAGCAAGGTCCTGCCTGACAGGGTGGGGGCAGTTGGGGTTGTGGGGCTCCCATCCACTCACCGCTTGTTGGAGACATTAGTGGTGAGAGCTGTGACTGAGGCTAGAGACACCGAGTCGGGATCCAGTCCATCCCCTAGCCGAATGGCCAGATGGTCAAGGTCTTCCATCTCCAGCACTGCTGGTTCATCTGGGGAAGATGAAAGACTGGTTAGGTGGGCTGACTGATGGTGAGATAGTGACTGTTTCTCCTTTTACTCTGGCATCCAGAAAGCTGAGAGTTAAATTCGAGGTTTACTTAGTTGCTACTGCTTAGAATGTTATGGCCTGAATAACTGCAATGTTTTTCTACCTAATCCCGATCTTGGATTTGAACGGATATTATGTCTGGTCTTGCCTTTTTATTTTAATTGAATGCTCTTTTATTGCATTGTACTTACTTAGGCACTGAATATCCCTTGTGGATGAAGGTAGGGAATAAAGAATCCATACTTTTGCACCTCTCAATAAATAGCTACCATTTACTGGGTGGATACTCTGTTCCAGGCACAACACCATGACTTTACATGAGTATCTCTAGTCCTTAGAGCTGTGCCCTGCCAAGATGGGCATTATTCTCATTGTCACAGGTACGGAAACGAAGGCTTAGGAAGTAACTTAATCCATATCAAATAGCTGATGGCATTCAGAACCGAATGCACTGGTATTCATCTAATGAGATGCAGACATGTAGATTCCGAAAAGCCACCCGAGGATACTGGGTTTGGTCCTCAGCCAGCAGCTGTACTCTCTCCATTTAAGGTGAAGGGCACGGCTGGTATTGGCATGGGGGCAACAGGGTGGGGGAGAGAGCCTGAGGGCCATTGGGCCACAGAGGGGATGCTGGGGGAGGGCAGCCGGGAGCCCCGATGGTGGGCCCGTGATGGAGAAGACGGTCCCCTCCCAGCTCCCGTGTCCTCTCCATTTCTCCCCTTGTCTTCCTCCAGGCCTCCCTGCCTGTCTTCCCCTCTCCAGCCGCTGCTCTGAGAGGGCCCAGTGCCACCTGCTGCTCCAGCCTCCCAAGCTCCGCCCTGCCGCGCCCTCCAGCGCCCCCAGGACCTCCCCTAAGGCCAGGCTGCAGCCTGATGAGAGCGCGCTGGCGAGGCCTGCCGCCAACCCTGCACTAGTGCGACGCCGATTTCCCCCCAGAAATAGGGAGTTGGCCAAACAGCGTTTCTTGATGGATATTCTCTGCTCTAATTAAAACTCTGGGCTTCTGTGTGAAGAAGAAAGAACCGGGAGCAACGAGGGCGGGAGGAGCTTTGTAACCACGCCCAGTAGACAGAGGGCGCGGCCCGTTTCCCTCCCTCGGCCCCAGGGCGTCCCCTTCCTAGAGGGCCTCGCCTCACTGGGCGGGGCCTGGCCCTGGGTCAGCCAATGAGAGTCCAGGCCCCTCCCAGATGGCTCTGGACGACCAATCCCAGGAGGATCTTTTGGCAGCTGGGCAGGGGCTGGCAAGCGGCGTGAGGGCGCCGCGAGGCGCGGGGCTGACGCGGGGACGCGGCGCCTGTCCTACCTGGTCTTTGGGTCTCCTCCTTGTGGGACCTGTTTTTGCCGAGCTTCATGGCGGAGAACACGCTCCTCCCGGCTCTGTGAGGGGGCCGCCAGAATGAGGTGCAGGGAGAGGGACGCGTGGAGGAAAACACACAAACACAGAAGAGCCAAACATGAGAGAACATATCAGAGAAGGGAGATGGACCCGGCCTCTCACCTACTGGTCCCGAAATAGGTCGGGATCTGTCTTCCCAAATTGGGAGCCATGAGGGGGAATGAGGGCAGAGAGAGACCCCTCTACTTCCCCCTTTGCCATCCTTTCACACACAGAGGAGAGGGATGGGGTCCCTAGCAAGCAGGGAACGTGGCCTTGAGCCGGGAAGAGCCGTTTTAACTGGAGCTCCTCTGGGTCTTGGTCTTTTCAGTCTGATCCCAGCCTCTCAGTCTAGTCTCAGAGCTCCGAGCCCTGCCAATGTCCCCACGCTCATCTTCCCTGGCTCAGCTGGTTGGAGAGAAAGCCCGAGGACCGGAGACAGAGCATCTGAACAGTGGGGCAGGGACCAGAGAGGACTCAGGGACAGAGGCCGATGAGGAGATGGGAGATGTGGTTGAAACGAGCTGTTCAGTTCTCAGATGGCCTCGGTGCTCAAAGCCTGACTTGCCTTTCTCCAACCTCTCCGTGTTCTGGGATGTTCCTTGGTCCCCATGAAAAAGGGGGAGATAGGCCCTTTCCCATCTATCTTCAGTCTTGGCTTTTGCCCCTTCTACCTGTCCCCTCTCACTGCCGAATTCCCCTTTCCCCCAACCCCAGGAACTTATGGCAGGCTCCATAGTTCCTACCTCTTCCTCTGGCTTGCTGTGGCTTTGTGCCCCCAGGCGAAGGGCCTTGCAGTCGGGGGGGGCTGAGGAAAAGGGGCAGGGGTCCTCACTGCCCTTCAGTGATGTCCCTGCAGCAGAGCCTGTGGTTCCTGGCGCTAGGAAGCACCAGGAGCAGGATCAGCAGGGGGTAAAGTGCAGTGTTCCATTACCCCATCCATATTGCATGAGTGGATACCTGACTCCCTCCACTTCCCATTCTCCCTCCTCCTGGGTGTGGCCCCATCATCCTGTAGGCCAGGTGGGGCCAGGTGCAGGCTCCAACCTGGAACTCACTTACGGCAGAGTCCACCCTTTTTGGGTCACACATCTCCCTGGGGAGGCTTGACTATGGTTTCTAAGACCCCAGATCCTTGTTCTTTATGCTGGGCAATGAGAGATTGGGGAAAACCTTTCTGTCCTCAGGCAGATGACCTAGAAACCTCAAGCCCCTCTCCTCAGGATGGTGGAGCCAATCTTATTCCCCAAACCTGGCCCTATCCCAACCCCAGACCCTTTCTTTACTGTTCATATTCAAGACAAAGCACGTTCATATCCCAGTGAGGGAGCAATTGAGAATCACCCTTTTCACGTGGCAGCAGCTCACAATCTAGAGAACATTAGCATGTTCTTGAATTCCTAAAAAGGAATGGAAGAAGGCTGATGTGTCTGCACTCTTCAGTAGCATACCGTCTGCAATACGACAATGGGAAGAAAGGGAAAGAAAGAGGCTCTAAAATCAAAGCTGATGCCTTTGGAATTATTTTTAAAAGCTTCCTCCTTTCTGATGGGGGGAGGTGAGTTATACACACACACACACACACACACACACACACACACAGGCCAAAAACAGACTACAGAGGGCCAAAGGCCTTTCCAGATGTCTGCAATGTCTGCAGATGTCTGCTCATCTCATCTTCCTGCAATCCTCTGAGGGCCACATGCTTCTCCTCATTCAACCAATAAAAAGACTGAGGCTCAGAGAGGTGAAAATAATCACAAGGTCACATGGTGAGTGGCAGAACTGGGATTGAAACAGAAAGCTCCTGTGTTCTAGGCCAGGAATATTTTCACTGCATCTCAGGTCCTTTGCCTCGATGCCGTAGGACTGCACTTTTCCATAGGCATGAATCCCATCCCATCCTGACCATTTGGGATTTTAGTTAAAAGGCCCCAGGGCTGGCACCCGTAGGTACAGGTATGGTCTGTGTGCCGGCATAGTTTACAGATCAGGATGCTGTCATCTGTGGCATCTCATGGATCATACCCCTGTTTACAAAGAAGGGGCTCATTCAAAAAGAACCTGAACACCCACACATTTGGGAAGGGGCGGCTGTGCATGTTAAATTGCTGGTGACATAACATTGAACAGAACAATGAACCCACCAGAAATAATCATGTGATGGTGGGGAAAGGACCACCCTGGCTGGCTTGCCCTGAAGCATCCTGTGGGATTTCTCCCCACCTGGTGGCCCCAAGGGCAGGAGTGCTGGCTGTCCTGACCCCTGCCACAGGCCCAGCCTCAGAAGTGTGGTTTCTGTGGGCCTCCTCGCGGGTCACTTCCTGTCTCAGGGCTTTCTGCCCAGGCTTGCTGCTCAACTGTGTCTCTCCTGAATTACCCAGGAGTCTCCTGCAGGGCTCAGCCTTTGACTTTGTACCATTACTTCTTGGCCATTCCTGGGCTGTATTATTCTTGGAGTCCCCGGCCCTTCCCCATGTGTGACCTACATAGTTACCCTTTGCCATTTTAGCCTGCTCCAGCCAGACTTCCCTCTCCCCTTCCCCTTCCCCACTTCCCCAGAGGGGAAGTGCTTTGGGATGGCAGGTCAGAAGCAGGCCCTGCCTGGAGAAGCCGGCTGCCCAGCCTGCTGGGATGGGATCTGGCCCTGCTGCCTGAGGCCCAGGGGGAGTGCAAGGTAGCAGGAAATGGTGGCTTTCAGAGGCTGGTCCCATGGACTCACCCAGGTGGAAAAGGACCTGAGGCATCCCTGGGGCACTTATGGCCCTTGAATTTGAAGGTCACTTTATTCCCTAACACAAACAGATTTGAAAGAAATGAGCGAGGCTTTAAATCATTTTAAAGCCGGTGCGGTGCGGTGGGGTGGCTCATGCCTATAATCCCTGCACTTTGGGAGGCCGAGGCAGGTGGATCACTTGAGGTCAGGAGCTCGAGACTAGCCTGGTCAACTTGGTGAAACCCCGTCTCTACTAAAATTAGCTGAACGTGGTGGTGCATGCCTGTAATCCCAGTTACTTGGGAGGCTGAGGCAGAAGAATCGCTTGAACCCAGGAGGCGGAGGTTGCAGTGAGCCGAGATCACACCACTGCACTCCAGCCTGGGCAACAGAGTGAGACTCTGTCTCAAACAAACACACAAACAAAAACTATACTTGTCCAACTATTTCTACCACACTTTGAAGCAATTCAAAGGAGAAATCTCTCCCTTCCAACCCTGCAAAATTTTAGCCCTCTGAAGTGGTAGTACTGGTAGCACTCCTGTGTGCCTGGGAATATCTCAAAAGGATACTGTCTTTGTCCCTTTGTTAAAAATGCAGAAATGTGTAGTGAAGGATGTAATTTCCAGAATTCTTACAACAGGCTCTGTACCTCTGATTGTCCTAGACTCGCTCTTCAGTGAATCTGAATTGTGATCAGTACAGCATGATGTCATCCCTGCCACCACCCTTTGTAATTTTCTGATCAGTAACACATCAGAAGTTCACTATGGAAAAGGTCTTTTCTGCCTGATTGTAGCACCAGTTCCTGGAAAGCAGTATGCCTGCTTCTCTTGGCAAACTGTAAAGGAGAGTTTTGAAATAAATGCCAACTTAATCAGAGAACTTTGAAGATTATCTATTTGTCTGAAAGACTTAGATTTCAAAAAATCTAATTTGCTGATGAGGTGTCTGTTGTCCTGGCCTTTTATTATTTTCAAAATAAAATTCTGCATTTGGTCTAGTTGAGTTCTACAATGACCAAAAATAGGATATGGTGAGAAACAGACAAAGAAAACAAGCCAATAATCAACTCAGTGAAAACTCACTTTACAACCAAATGGCTCCTTATTCTTGGGCGCATTAAAGCTTGAGAAGCGAGAGCCAAGGGGAGGCCAGTATCCCTCCAGGACCCTCTGAGGATTTAGAATTCGTTTGAGTTTCCTGTGGCTGCATTCACCGTGGTCAGAATGAAGTGCACCTACAATCTAGACTGGTATCTCTCTCTAGAGGAAAAATGCTAAAATTAGATCACTTATTGTAAACTGTAAATCTGATGATTTCTCCACTCATTTTATGGCCCAGATTTAGAAGTATATTGCTTGGCTCTGTGGTGCACACAGGGTTCTAGGAAGAGCTTAGTATTTATAATGACTTGGGAACATTCACCAAACTAAATTTAGTGACCCGAGTGTTTCATTAATTCAGGTCTCTGGGTTATTCTGAAAGTTAATAGAGACCTGACCCTAAATAAGCTGCAGGTTGAGTCCATTCACTGCCCAGGGCTTCTGCCCCATGACTGGCTTCAACTGGAACTTCTAGGCTCATTAGCTCAGGCCTCAGGTAATCAATCAGGATAAAGACTCCTATCTATGAGAAATAGGGTCTGTGGTCCTTCTTTGCATTGCTCAAATAGCCCAGTTTTCAAAACCTGAGAGCATGTCATCCAAGCACTCCTAAATGGGTTTATTTTAAAACTTTTCATACCCCAAGACACAGGGAATTTCATAATTTCAGTCTTCACAGGTGTCTTCGAAAGTGGGTTGAATTTCAGTTCGTTTTTGAAGAGCTTCCCATAGGTGGGCAGGATAGGCTGATCCTTTACACAAGAACCACCCTGTCTCCAAACTGGCCCCTTTGCACACATGCCCACGTTGTACCAGAAGGCTTGGGGTGCCCACACACTCTTGTCCTGACCCCGGGATTGTCAGGGAAGCTGTCTCTTCAGTTCTTACTGCTGGCCCAGCCCTTTGCAAGGCTCAAGCAAGCAGCATCATAGAAGATGATGGGTGGTTTCCCATCTCCCCAAACCAGTCTATCCCAGAATGTCACACAATATGAGTTATTTCGTGGGTTGAATCTTGTTTCTCTACTTCAACTTAAATCTATTTCCATTTATCTCTTCTCAGTGGAGATAGATACCAATCAGCTTTGCCACACATTAACATTTCAGAGATTGAAATATGTTCCCACAGTTTTCTCTCCTCCAGGCTAAAGAGTTTAAATTCGTTCAATCTCTTCTTAGAAATCTCATTTTCCTATTATTTCAATAGTCCTATTGCTCTACACATAATAGTAATAATAATAATAATAATAATAATAATACTATATGCCAGTTTACTTTATCTCATGTGTTAATTAGAGATGGTAAGAAATTAGGATGGAGAAGGTCTAGGGAACCAGTATTTTTGTGGAACTACTATGTGCTGGCACTGTGAGGCACCTCTTACTCCAACTGTAACCAGTCAAAGGGATCAGTCCAGTCTGTGTCCCTAGGGTCTGGCCTGGGACAGACTGGGGAGCTGGGCATCAAGAAGGGCCTTAGAGCATCTCTGTTCTCAGGCAGGGAACCTGGGGATGGACAGGCTGCTCGTATCTCATTCATATGCCCTTTACATCTAAGCATCTATGGAGAAACCCAAAGCCTTGAGGACTCCCTAAGAGGACTCCCCAGTTCAGCATTCCCCATCATCTCCACCTGCCCTGGATTCAGTTCCCTGGCTCTGAGCCTTAACACATGCTCTGCCCAGGCTTCTTCCCTTACTGGGAACCTGGCAGACTCCTCGATCCTTCAGGTCTCTGGGCTGGAGCTCTTCCTACACGGTGCCATTTCCTCCATCACTACAGAGTTAACACTGCATCATCATTGCTTTTGCTTGTGCATAACAAATGTGAGTTAGAACTCATACTTTTTTGGAAGCAATGAATGAGGCTGTGAGTTCCCCAGGATCTTAATGCCAGCAGATACTCCAAGCCCACACCAGTGTTGATCAGTTCAGACCCCTCAACACACAATCCTGATATTTCCATGACATCTTCAGATGAACTAATTCTTAATGTACTGAGGCCACAGTTTTGAGCAAATATCTTAAGATCTCTGGGGCTCAGGTTCCTCATCTGGAAGATAAAAAAGACCACATTCCTGGCTTTTCAGCTCTCATTGGTGTGTTTGGAGAATTAGATTAAATTTAGAGTACAGTCAAGTGCTCTAAACTTCCTAGGTCTATGGTGAGCTCCAGGTCAGAAGTCAGTTTCTCTGTGTTCTGGTTCCAGCTCTGCCCCTGTTCTGAGACTCAGATTTGTCATCTGTAAGAGCAGGTGTTGACCAGAGGCCTCCTCCAGTGTGGTCTGCCTTGGCTCCCCCTGCCCTTGTTGCTACAGTCATCCAGATGTCAGTGTGCTTCTAGGGGTGCCTACGAGACCCACTCACAAGCCCTAGCCTTTGAATCTTTCCAGACCCTTGTGACTGGCCCTTCCCACCTGCAGGACCCTTCGCCTATCCTCTCCAGACAGCACCCTGACCTCATTTTTCCAGGAAGCCTTTTGGGGAGATGAAGATAGAGAGGGCCACCCACATGGTGGCCTCTCCTTAGCTTTCTGGAGGTCTCCAGCTCTACCCAAGACCTGCTGCTGCAAAGCATACCCAGAGCTCCTCCTCCTTAGGCCTCCAGCTGCCTGGCCCTGCCTCGCCCCTGTTGGCAGAGAGGTCCCTGAGGTCCTTGTACCCCTCTCGCCTTTGCCTGTAGCTGTCCCCTCCCTCCCAGGGAAGCCCAAAGGCCACAGGATGGGGGCTGAACAGTGGAGGAGGAACAAGACTCGGACAGGAGGACGGTCACCCCTGAGAGCCCAGAGTGGAGACCAGAAGGCCTGGACACCTCCCGCCCCCACCCTAACCCCTCCTCATCCCTCAACCCCATGGCCAGGTGAAAAGGCCTCCCTGGGCCTGCATACCCCGTTCCAGCTCCACCATGACAGCCCACTCCTGAGCCCTCTCAGCCAAGCCCGTCCCGCCCTCTGCAGCCTGTGGGGAGGAGGTCTCTGCTCCCGCAGAGATACTGCCCCATCTGCCCTGGCCTGGGACACCTACTTGTGCTCGCCATCTCTGCCTCCCTTGGTCTTCTCTCTGCCTTTGCTGAGTAGGGGAAAGAAATGAGGAGACAAGGGGATGTGTGTGAGGGGCTGTGGACCAGAGACACTGGCCTCAGCCCCGGCCCCATGGACCTGCATGCTCCCCAGGGGCCTCCTTGTCCCACAGACCTCTCACCCCACAGCTTCTCATGGTAGCAAGCCTAGGTCTGCAGGGTAGGGGTCCCATGGCCCTGGGTTCTGTCCTGCGGGGAGAGGGGAGGGGCCCACAATGCTGGACCTGGGTGGCCACTATTCCAACCCCAAGCTCTGATACCTCAGGGCCTCAGCTCATCTCCCCCCACCAGGATCTGATGATTTCACAATGTGGGTCACAGCTTCCTCAGGGAACACAGCGTTAGATGAGCCTGGCTACCCTCTGGGCCTGGGCCACCCTGCTCCTCTGCCCACTGGCTCCCCTGCTCCCCTCCAATGGGGTGGGAGCTCCCAGGCTCTGGGGGCCTCTAGGGGAACAGTGGGCTAAGCCTGCTCTGTGAGGGTGAGGCAGGGCTGGGGGTCCTGCTACGGAGTGCACCCTGGTGGATGGGGGGCCTTCTAGGGGTGTAGGTGGGGCAGTAAGAGAGCTACCACTCCAGGGTTCAGAGCAGGGGAAAACGGTGCTCCTATCTCACTTTAGGGAGGCTTCCAGAAAACTTTTCTGGAATGTTCTCTCAATGCTTTCCCAGTGCTGTGGCAATGAGGATGAAGACAAGAAAATGAATAACAATTAGCAAATTATTCTTCTCCTCACACCCTGTTCTGGCACAGGCCTTACCCAGGTAGACTTGACTCCATACCCCGATGGCTCAAGACCTGAAGGCCTAGACACAGCACAGCTGCAGTCTGGTACTGGCCAGCTAACCTTTATGTTAGGCAAGCAAGTCAGTCTATAATTCAAAGGCGTTAACATCAGCCAGGCCTCTGGCTGCCCAGATCAGCTGAGATTACTAAGCGGAGAAGAGCTCACAGCAGAGGAGGAGGACTGTGTCTCAAGCAAGAGCATCCCAGCTGCCCAGCTGCCCGGCTGCCCCGGCTCCTTTGAGTGGCTTTGGGAGCTTCTGCAACTCTGGTGCTCAGCCTGGAGAAGGGAGGCAGCAGAGGATTTTCTAGCTCTCTAGAGGTCGTGGGAACTGATTAAAAAACACTCTTTGGGTGAGGCTGCGTGTACTGACCCCACATGAACACGCTTCTGCATGCCCACCCCGTGCCCCTCTGTCTCAGAGCCCCACCATGCACACGTGCCCCACTGCCCTCTGGCCCCAGCATAGGAGGAAGGTATCTGACTTCTGCAGGTCTCCACTGGAGTGGAAGAATGATCAATAACGAGAATGAGAAAGTGTCTGCTGCCCCAAACTCCTCCCAGATGAGAGCCAGCAGAGAGGAGACCAGCAGAAGAGGGTTTGGGTAGCAGAAGGAGGTGGGGGTCATGGAGGGCAGGAGAGCCAGGCCAGGTGGAGAAAATGAGAAGAGGAGAGAGTTGCAGAATACAGGGACTCAGGAGGAAAGGCTCAGGTCTCTACCGTTTAGCTGCAAGACTAAAGCTGGGATTTCTTTCTTTGTCCTCTCTAAGATGTGACTCCTAAAGACAGCAGCAGCAGCAGAGCCCAGCATCCGGAGTCCTCTCTGGTGTCATGCAGTGCATGTGAGTGTGTGCAAACATATGGGCATTTTTGTACACACGTGTGTGCATGTGAGTGTGGTCAGGGCCGAAGTCACTTTCTCTCCAGAGACGAGGGCAGGCATATGCTGCCATGCAAAGGTCTGGAACACCGATTTTGTGCTGCTGAGAGTGGAGTGCCCCTGAGGTTAGAGATTCATTCCATCTCTGCAACTCAGGGAGCCTGGGGAGGTGAGGGGAACACTGAGTGAGTGAGCTCCCTACCCCTGCCCCTGGGCCAGTAGGGCTCCTGTGTGGGTAGCTTCTGCAGAGCCCTTGGTATAGGTTGGGGAGCTAGAGCTGAGAATGTGCTTGGACAGTGCCTAAGCCAGAGGGTCAGGTGCTGCTCAGGGTAGAAGTTGACATCAGGGTAACACGGAGTCAGTGAAGAGGAAGGAAGTGAACACTGGCTTAGCACCTGCCGCCTGCCAGGCACAGGGGTGGGTGGCTCGCAGGTGCACGTCACTCAATCTTGACACTCTTGTGAGGCAACCGTGAGCCCCGTCTTACAAATGGGGAGGGGGATTCCCAATAGCAGAGCTGTGAGTGGAGCCTGTGCTCTGTCACACAGCACAGCTTCCTGGCACATTCCTGGGGGCATTGTGCAAACAGCTGGCAGAAATCAGGGACCCCTGGCTTGGTGGCAGGAACTAGAGAAGTGGCCAGAGTGGCTCAGAGGGCATGTGGCTGACCAGGGCCTAGGGGAAGTGGAACCATCAGGGCAGAGGGTCAGTGGGTGGTGGGGTTGGTGGTCACTCACGCAGAGCTCCCATACTGATTCCCTGAGGAGGAATGGGGTAACTTCATGGCAGGTTCTTAGGGTCTTAGGAGTGAGTGTCATAGCAGCTGAGGCCTGAGGTCCACAGTGCCCCTGCTTGGAACCATCTGACCCCCATAATGAAGACAGGATGAACATGGGTGAAGTCCCAGAGAAGCAGGCCAGGCAGGGCAGGCCTGGGGGGTGGGCCCAGGCACTGAAAGGAGAGGTGTGGAGTGCCCAGAGGATCTCCTGGCATCAGCCTCCCCTCCATCCATGGAAATTCCAGCCCAGGCTGCCTGGGGCCTGCCTGGGCTGAGGCTGTTTCCTGCCCACTCACTCTACCTCCCTGCAGCCCCCAGCAAGCCTTCATTTCACCCCATCAGCCAGGGAGCAGCCGATCCCCACGCCAGACCCTGGGGGTCAAGATGGCCGGTGAGACACTGCTGCTTGCCAGCAACGGGATTTTCCTCATGCTCATTGTGACTGAAGCAGGAACAAGAGGGCACTGTGAAGATAGAATACCCTGATCTATAAGAGGATTGGCCTTTCCAGGAGAGGACGGAGGGCAGAGAGCAGATGCCGGGGAAGCCTGCCTGGGCTCCTGGTGAGGTCTGAGGTGAGGCACAGACACCCCTTCCCTTGTGCTGTCTTCTTTAGGGAGTAGTTGTTTTCCTGATAAAAGGTTGGCCAAGTCCCTTCTGGAGAGCTCTCTGGCTTCCTCCCAGAACCCACACTATGTGACAAGGATGAGGTGCAACATCTAGGGCTGTGGGGCCAGCTTCCAGGTCCCCCTCCTCACCTCAGCACTCCTTGACCCAGAACTCACTGGCCCCATATGGGTAGCCAGGATTAAGCTACAGGAAAACCCCAAGTCATTGAACCTGCTCCACCTTCTCCTCACGAGCAAATGGCCTCTCTCTAGAATTTTTCTCAACCACTCTTTTCCACAACCAGGCCCGCTGGCTGCATGGCTAGGCCTGGCAGAAGAACTACACTGTAGCAGTAATGTCTGTCCCCAAGGTGCTCTCAGACCTGGGCTGGCAGCTCCAGTGGCAGCAGGGAAACTGTGCACCTGCACACGGCCCCTGCAATGCAGGGTGGGGGTGCCTGGCTTCGGCTGTCACCCTCTCCCAATTCCCAGTCCTGGGGGTGAAGCCCCTCCTTTTGCTCCTGCTTCTTGCCGCTACCCTGGGAGGGGCCACACGAAGATGGGGAGAGGTGGGGAAGCTACCTGTGAGGAAGGGTTGGGGGAGCCCTCTTATCTCCAGATTCCTGGCGCACAGGGCTCTCTGGGCGTCTAAGCTCTCCAAAGCCCCCATCAGCACCCTGGCCCACCCTTGTAGGACCGAGCAAGAAACTGGCACTGTGTTGCTATGCCACCCCAGGGAGGTTGCCCTCGTGGCTGCTAAGGGCTCCCATTGTTTCCCATGGATGTGACCCACAGGTCTGGAGCATCCCTGGGTCCCTCAGGATGTCAGAGTTGGAGGGCAGCCAGATTTAACCTGCTGAACCCATTCGTGTTACTGACCCACAGGGGCTAGTGACATGCCCAGTGTCACTCAGCCAGTGAGCCGCACAGTCAAGATGGGACTTAATGGGCCTTAGCTCTCCTGATTTGGGGCCAGCATTCCTTTCCCAGCGACTGATGGCCCTCATGTGTCTTCCGATCTTGTTCTCTGGAAGCCCTTTCTTAGAGCCCAGCCACAGTTTGTGGACCAGCCCTGCCAACCTCTTTCCTGAATGGAGACAGACAAGGAGGACCCGGTGATGCCCACTGGGTCAGCATCCCTTCACTCCCCATCCAGGCACTGCTTCTCTTCTCACAATTTCCAACCCGATTCCTGACTCTTTGCATTGTTGTGCTATAAGAAACCTGTTTGCCTATCACCAGCCCGGACACAGGCAGTGCTCAGCACCTCCATTGCCACCCGTTCCTCCGTGATCCCTCCCACTCTCCCAGCAGCAGGGCAGGGGGGTTTCATTGCTATGTCCCATTTTGCAGGTGAGGAGAGAGGGTCAGAGACTGGCCAAGGGTCACATGACTAGTAAGAGGCAGACTCAGGCCTGGCTCTTCTGCTAAAAAGCCAGGAGTCTAAGGGAACAGGCTCCAAGCTAGCCTGGGACTGCCCCATGCCCGTGGCTGGCCTGGAGTAGACAGTCCTGCCATATTTGTTGCAGGCCTGGTCACTTTGACCTTGTTACTATTACTCACCTGGCTCCCAGGGTTTCTGAAGCTTGTGTGTGTCTGTGTGTGTATGTGTATGCGCACATATGTGCACTCAGGCATGTGTGTGTGAGGGGGTGCTTAAGGGAGTGTGAACTCATTCAAGTGCAAAGGAGAAAACATATTTGTGCCTTAAAAGTCCGTCAGTTCAATTACACTAATTTAGAACCTATGTTTTCTTCAGCAGAGGGTCTGAGTAAACTTTACTTGGAAAGGAAAGCGTGGAAGGAGCTTACAGGGATATGTTTCCAGTGGCATGGAGGCTCCCTTCTCAAAACACACCCTGGTCCTTTAGATGCACCCTTGACTTACTGGCATTTAACATGTCGTTTCTAGTGACTTAGGAACCCTTGGTCTCTAATAGTAATACAATTGCGTTTTCTGTTTTGTAAAAATAGTGCACATGGAATGAACTGGCCTGGACCCAGCTTCCTGTGGTCTATGGGTGGCAGGACGTCCTGAAGGACCCAGGGACGCTCCGAACCTGTTGGTCAGATCCATGGGAAACAATGTCCTGGGAGCCCTTAGCAGCCACGAAGGCAACCTCCTGGGGTGGTGTAGCAACACAGAGCCAGGCAGGGCATGATCCTGGACTCTGGTCTTCCCAGGAGCCCTCCCTTCTCAAGAGGAAGAAAGGCCAGGGTCCAGCCAGGATCTTTGGTTTCACTCTGGCAGGAAGAGTCGCCCTCTCTTGGGCCTCCTCACTGGGCCAGGGTGGAGGTCAGGCTCCTGGCACCTGGTGGACACTGCTGGGTCTTGAACCAGAGAGGCCAGGGCCCCTCCTATCCTCATCTCCCCTTCTCTGAGAAAGGCAGGAGATCTAGCCCCATCCCTGTGTTAGAGCTCCACCTCCCAGGGCCTCTGGGGAGGCCTTGGCCTTGCAGTTTGATCTGAGTTCCCTGCTCCCTGCCCAGTGAACTCGGGGGTGGACGACTGGGTGGGGGACTATAGAAACATCTTCCCACCTCTTGGATGTCTCTCCGGAAGCTCAGCCCTGTACCCTGAGCCCAGCTAGGCCTAGAGAGGCCTGTCAAGGGGACTAGGCCCCAGGCCTCTTCCCCGTGTCTTGGGAGCAGTGGGCAGCCAGAGGGGCCCTTCCTGTTACCTCCGGAAGCTCTTCTCTCCGGGGGGCCGGGAGCTGGGCCGGGAGCCTGGGAGCAGTCCATCCGTCTCTTGGCTGTCCTTCTCTTCCTCTTGAAGAGACTCATCTCCCAGGAAGTCCCCATCATCCCAGGAGCCCACCGTGCCATCGGTGGCCTGATACCGGACCTCCACGCACAGGCTGGTCTGAAGGGAGGGAGGTGGTGGTGAGCAGCTGGGATGGCGACAGCTATCTCCACCCCGTATATATGGCTGCTTGGTGGTGTTTACACAGCGCTTCCACACCCTTGCCTCACTGGAGGAGGTTAGGATGGTATGATCCCCTCTACCCTACTTTGCTGACGAGAAAACAGAGGCTGGGAAAGGCTGACTTGCGCAGACCCGGTCAGCTTATTGGGATCTGACTCCAGGTCCCGCTGCTGGTGGCTCCACTCCTCCCTGGTGCTCCAGGTGGAGGGGCCTGGCCTGCCCGGGACAACTGAGCCTGGACTCACTCCCTGAGTCCACTGTCTACCTAACCGAGAGTGTCGTTTAGCATCCCCATGATCAGGCCACCTCCTCTCCTCAGAACAAGGGCTGCCTGCAGGCATGAAGTGCGACCTGCCAGAAATCGGCTTGTTGGAAATGTGACAGAATGAGCTGAAAGTGGCCTCCAGGAGAGGAGCCCAGGCCCCAGGCTCACACCCACCCTTTCTACCCTGGAGAGGGAGGGAATCTTGGGAGCTGCCCTAGGGTTTTCCTCTGGGAAAAGTAGAGCACTCAACCCAGGCTCAGGCTTAGCAATGGAGAATCATGACTGGGCTTCCTGCTCTGTGTCCTGGGGCCATTACTTTCTCGCAGCTCTAGTTTCCCCCCAGTGCCCAGGGATCACCCTCCCTCACTGGTCTGGAGGTAACTTATGCCTGTGCCCCAGACAGGCGGCCCTCACTCAGTGCTTAGACACTCCAGCACCCAGGCTTAGATTTCCCAAGGAAGGGAAAGGTGCACATATTTTCTGAACCCTCACTGTGCTAGACATCATGCTAAGATGCTTTAATTTTAATGTCCACTCATTTGATCTTTTCAACATTGCAACCTACCTTACCTCGCATATCAGGAGGTTAAGTTACTTCCTTTAAGTCACACAGCTACGAAGACCTGAGCCCAGGCTGACTGACTCTAAGCCCCATGTCCTTTCCATGGAACAAATGTGACCCTCTTGGTGGAACCAAGGATGTTGTTGTGGGAAAATGGTGGTCTCTGGCATTGGAAGTCCTGGGCGTCCATGCTGGCCCTGCTGTCGACTAGCGTTCTGACCGTGGCCAAATCCATTCCCCATCCAGGACTTCATTGTTCCCATTCATAACAATGGGTAGCGGAGATAGGTGGCAAGTGGGCTAGGAGATCTGTGAGTAGTTTCCTCTGCTGACATCTTAAGTCTGATTCTGAAAATCCAGGGTGTGGGCTGTGCTGTCTGTCCATCCCTGCTCACTCCCTAATTCTCTCATCTCACTTCCCACACTACACTCTTCATCCAGGCTTCTGTGCTCTCCTCCCAGCCCGCCTTCCCATGGGTGTCCATACGTAGTTTGTTCTGCACCCCTTCTCCCCTTGCTGTGGTGGCTGAGACCCCGGTAACTTTAAGAAGCCCTCTCTGCCCACCCCTGCTCATGGGAGAAGAGGGTTCCTTCTTTTCTAGCACCCTGTGGCTGCAGTCCTGGCTTCTGAGGCTGTTTCTCCTGGCCACTACATAGCATCATATATTACACAGGACCCCACTGGGGGACAATGGCACAGCCCCATTTTATACATGGGTAAACTGAGGTCAGGAAATAATAGCTAACAATGTTATAGATTTATTGTGCATATTTGTTCTAAGTACTTTCTGTGTATTCTCCTTCAATCTTCAGAATAGTCCTGTGAGGTGGATACCATAATTGTGCTCACTTTGAGGTGATATGTAGCTTGCCCAAATCACAGTTAGTGAGCGACCTAAGATTCATACCCAGGGTCTCTGTTCCTCACCATCATGCCAACTGCCCACGAGCGGCCATGGCTGAGTTCAAGAGGACTGAAGAATCTGAGCAGAGCCTGGGGCCAGGCTGTCTTGGTAGGGTTGCCTCCTTCTTTGTTAGAACATGTATCAGGTGCCTCTGGACTGTGCGTCACTAGTGCATGCGTGCTCATGCAAAAGTGCTGGGATGTGACAAACAATAGGAAATGAGGTCCCTGCCCTCCTAGGGAGGACTGGAGCCAGATACACAGAGTGAAGGTCATGCCCTCGAGTGCCAGCGGGGCTCAGTCTGGTCTTTGGATGACGAGAGGAGCCTCTTTAATGACTCCTGAGCTGGGTCCAAATGGAAGGGTACATTCTCACCGTAGGAAGGACAGGGGTGCTTCCTGTGGGGCAGCAGACCCTGCCATGCCACAGGGCCTCCAGCCATGACCACAGATTGAGCCGTTCCAGCAGAGTCTGACCTGAGTCTCCTCCTCCCACCACACCTCGCCATGCACGAGGGGCATTCCCCAGACCACTCCATGTGTGGGGCAGGGAGAACAGACCCCCAGATGGCCCCATATGGGAACGTCCAGGAACTTCCTGGGGCACACCCACCTTGATGATAGCATTGTTGTCATCAATCAGCGTGTCAGTCACCTCCACATGGCTCTCCTCTACCACCTTCTGCAGCACCATACGGAAGGTCCCGATGAGCCTAGGGACGGCAGAGGGGGCACACGGTGGTTACATGGAACGGACCAGGGTGAGGAGCAAGACTGATATCCCAAGAGCTGTGACTGCTTAGGGAGGACTGAGGTGGGCTTGCTGCAGCTCTGGGCTGGGCTGGAGGTGGCCTAGGAGCCAGGGCTGGTTGCAGCCAGGGCAGTATGTCTCACTGTGGATGGTTGTTTGTGGGAGGCCCATTTCTTTGGCAGAGCTCCAAGGGGCAGTGAGCACCCTTAGGGGATGTCTACAGAATGTGGGGAAGAGTGCATGGAATCCAGGTTTAGCTGAGCCCTTGCAGAGAAGTTTCCAGATGCTCAGTGTGGAGGCTGGGGAAGGACCTGAGGTTCCTGGATGGACAAGTAGCTCCTCCGGCTTCTGCCTCCCTAATGATGACCGAGGTTTCCAGCCCACACCAACAGCACTCACTCATCCATTCCACATCCGCAGCCTGTAGGTTCCTGGATGGCAGGAACCTGTGTGATGGCAGAGCCCACGGATCTGCACAGCAGGGGAGAGGCGGTACAATGCTTTGGTTAACAGCACAGTCCTGGCGTCAAAGAGACAGGGGTCTGAATCCAGCTCTGACACTGACTAACGAGCTACCTGCTTCCTGGGCAACTTCCTTAAACTCTCTCAGTCTCAATTTTCTCATAAGATGAGCTGATAAGCCCTACTTCACAGAGTTGTTGTTGGAAGACTGAGTGAGATCATCTGCGAGTGTTCTTATCAGAGCCCCCAGCACAGCCAGCACTCCGAAGCAGTCTGGTTGGTCGTTATTCATGTGCTGCCTCTAAACTGCGAGCCTCTCCAGGGCAAGGGTAGTGCTTTCTATTCCAGCCTCCGTTTGACATTTCTAGCACACTAGAGATCTCAATATCTGCTGGCTGAAATAATGAACAACAGTGGGTGCCCAATAAATGCTGATGGAGTTGACTTCAACCCCATTGCACTCCACAGCCAGAAGGCATTTGCTGCTCTTGGAGAGAACGGGGAACTCAGAGAGACGTCCTCACATCGTGCTTCCACATGGGGTGGTTGAGAACACACACACCGTATCTAGCTGAAGGCACAAAGGCGAGGGAAGCATCCAGGGTGTGTGAGAGCTAGAAGGGACCTTGGGCATCATCTGATGCTGCTTGAGATTTATAGAGGAAGACGGTGAGGCTACGGAAGGGGAAGGGACACAGCTAATTAAAGCCAGATGTGGGTGAGGTGAGGAATCAGATGAATTCTGACTTAGGCGTGCTTGATGTCTATACCACCTTGAGGTCTATGGAGGGTGAACACTGATTTTTAAAAAATCCTCCCATCTCTGTGAGGGGAGGAAGCAGTAGGGGCAGCCCTGAGGGATGGATATGAAATGCTCCCCTCTGGAACTCAGAGCCCCATCCACCAGCGCGCCCCACCTCCCCGAGGGTGAAACTGACCACACCCCTCCTTCACTCTAAAGCCGAACTGGGCTTCTGGGCTCTTAGAGCAGCCCCATGGAAGCCTTCCATAGCTGCATGCACCTCTCCCCAGCTCAGGCAGTGCCCCAGAGACAGAAGTGCTGGGCTGGCGGCCAGGAGCCCTGGAGCCACTGCCCCTGAGTCTCAATTTGGTCTTTATAAAATGAAGAGGGAAGAGGACTTTTAGCTTCCGTACCATGTAGACATTCTAACAGTAGACCATGGGCACAAAAGAATACGCTCATCTTTTCTCAGCCTCACCTCTTTTTGTTCTAAATCAGCGGTTCTCAAACTTCAGCATGAACAGAATCACCTGGAGGGCTTGTGAAAACACACATGGCTGGGATATCCTCCTCTGTGGATGTGCTGGAAAATGTGTCACTGGTGGGAGAGGAGAGGTGCTGATCTGTAGCTTTTGCTGGTTTCCGAGGTATAAATACTCCCGCCATGGCCAACTTTAAGCTCCAAATGCGAAGTCACCAAACTGGGTCCACTGGACTTCAGTTCACACCACTGGTCCCGCCCCCAGGGCTCTGATTCAGTGGGTGGGAGGGGGGCTGAGAATGTGAATTTCTGACAAGTTTCCAGGTGATGCTGAAGCTGCTGGCTGGGGAGACACTTTGAGAATCCCTGCTCTACTGTTACCCTTTGTGGATGGCTATTCAGATGCCTTGATTCCCCTAGGACCTATCAAGCACCTGTTGAGCGTGGGGCAATCAGGCACATCTTTCTCCAGAATTAGATACCTAAGAACAGCAGAGGCAGCTCCCCAGGATCCATGGAGGTGCTGCAATGTGACAAGACACCCCCAGGGGGCAGGGTGGAGCTATTCCCCCTGCAAGTGCTCAGAGAGGCGTCTTGTGCCTTCTAGGCTTAACCCGCCGGAGTCTCAGACCTTAGACTTGGGAAGAACCTGAGAGATTTTGCCCAGCATCCCTTCCAGGAGGAATCCCTGAAACAGCCTCCCTGATACGTGCTTTCAAGCCTCTGATAGATACTCCCGTGGTGGTGACAGTGATGGGGCTGTCACTGGTAGTCCATTCAGCCACTGCTTTAATCACATAGTGTGCTGAGCGAGATTGGCCTCGAGGCAAATCCCCCACTCTTCACTCCCTGGTCCGAGCCCTGTCCACATGCGACTAATTCCATCCCTAAAGGGAAGCAGTGTAGACAGTGAAGAGCCTGGGCTCTGGAGTCAGACAGATGTGGGCTCACTCAGCAGGACCCAAGGGAGATTCCACCCCCTGGCAGCGGTGTGGTTTGGGCTCCTTGTCCTAGCCCTCCGACTTCCACCGGACAGTGGTGAGGAGACTGATGATGTGAAATTCCTCTAACACCACCGGCACTCGAATGCCAGCCCCTCCTGCCTCCCTAATAATGCGCAGGGCTGGCCATCTGGAGGGCCCACCCAGGGGGGTCTCCTTTGCAGGATGGGCTTCAGGGGCAGAACCAGGCTGTCCCCCACCCTTCAAGCTCTGCTCAGTCTTGCACAGCAAGAGCTTGTCTATGTCCCGGAGAGTGGGACTGGGACGCTAGGAGCTTGCAAGATTAAAGGAATCAATTTGCCACACTCCCAGAAGTGGCTTGGGGGGTTTTAACTCCTAACAGTTCATCCCCAACCTCTCTCAAATAAAAGTAAAAATTATATTATTTGACATGGACAATTGATATTATCTCAGCCTTATGTAAAGTATAAAGAAAAGCAGTTTTATAAACCTTGGCTCTTTCTACAGGTCTGTAACATACCATTTAAGCAAAAACACAGTGCTTGCCATGAAAATAGTTTCAAAACAAAGGCCCTGGCACTGCTTCTAGGATGCCATCCCTCAGCCTGTCCTCTGAAGATATTCTCTGGGAAGAAGCTGGGACAGGAAGAGGTAGGGAAGCCCCTGGCTCTAGCCCTTGTGGTGACCCCAGAGGCGACCCTGCTTGCCGCAGCTGGCCTTTGTGCATCCTGGCTGCACACATGGTAGGGTCTTGATCCTCTGCATAGGTCAGCATGGAGGAGCTGCCTGGGAGAGTGGGGCCCAGTGAGGAAGGGTGGGCTCAATGCCCCTTAGACAGCCAAGTCACTTCCCTGGAAATGGAGTTGTGAGGCCATGTGTTCTGTGGGAAGGAGCACTGGCCCGGGCGTCAGAAGGCCTGGGGTGAAGACCTGACTGTCCTGAATCTACTGCGTGACCCTGGACAAGAGGCCTCTCTGGGCCTCAGTTTCCCTGGGGCTGTTAGGCAAAGGAGCTGGGGCTAACTCCATGTCCTCTGACTACTTGCCTTACATGGCCATTCGGGTCACCATGGCAAAGAGGGTGCCCCTCACAGGAGACTGATTGGCTCCACGAGGGGCTGGGCGGCTGGACAGAGCTAGGATCCCCACATAATTAGCTGGCAGGAAGAGGCCTCCAGCCCAGGTGGGCCCACAGACTGACCACAATAGAGCGGCAACTGGGCACCAGAATCCTGTCAATAATTCATCACTTTCCCCTGGGAGCCCGTGTCAGGTGTCCTGGGCCCTGCAAGGCCTCTCCTGCTCTCCTGGCTCCTGAATTATTCAGGGCCCCTGGCATCCTCAGCAGGCAGGAGGCTGGAGGCCAGGCCATGGCCCCTCAGAGGTCCCAGACAGGCAGAGCTGGATGCACAAAATCTTCTGAACCCAACATTTCTTTCCTATGGGGAAGCCCAAGATTCCTGGACACAGGTCTTTGTTCCAGATGGGGCCGAGCAGACCTGGAGGTCTCCTGGTTTCTTCATACCGTGTCTGCCTCCTGGCAGCCTCTAGAACCACTGGGTGAGGGGCCAGTTTCCAAGCTGCTCTCGGCTTCTAGGACAAATCCCTCTGTCTGAGATGGCAGTGATGGGATCAGGCTCATTTCTCATGCTGGGCCCCACTCTCCCAGGCAGCTCCTCCATGCCTCCTTTAACTCAGTTTCCCCAAGTCCATCAGTCATGTGATGCTGAGTGTCACCCTTGAGTGCCCTCAGTCCTTCAGAAAAGAAGGGCCACTCTGATTCCCTCTCAAAGGCTCTCCCACTCCCTGGGGTATACAGAGGGTATACCCCTAACACCACGGGGGCATTTATTCATTCTTTTATTTCACAAAATAATCAGGGACCTGCTATGTGCCAGGCACTGTCCCTACCAGTGGCCATGGCTTTGCTCATTGCTAAGCCCAGTGCAGACCCAAAGACCCCCTCCACTCAGCCACCCCATGAGAAGGAGCCTGGGGTCTGAGCTGGGCCATGTGGGGGTTGAGGGCAGTGGCCTTATTGCTCCCCTGGCCTGGCCAAGGCAAATGCCAGGATGGGGAGACTTGAATGTCACATCATTCCAAACACCTTTCTCCCACTCTGACCCCCACAAGCTGACCTGTGTCAGCCTGGGCCTGTGCTCTCCACGAGGGGACCTCTTCTTTCCCATCACCGCTCCGCAGCCAACAGTGCCCTAGGCATTCTCTAGGCTTCCACAGAAATGGCAGAACCTCTCTCACCGGGTCTGGGCCTCCCCTTGTGGGGTTTCCTGCCTTCTCTTGGATGGGGGCAGGGAGGGAAGAAGAAGAGGAGAGCTAGGATAGGAACTATCTCCCTTTCTGTCTTCCTTCTTATTGGCACTTAAGAACACTTAATACAGGCTGGGTTCGGTGGCTGGCACCTGTAATACCAGCACTTTGGGAGGCCGAGGCAAGTGGATCACCTGAAACCAAGTTTGAGACCAGCCTGGCCAACATGGCAAAAACCCTGTCTCTACTAAAAATACAAAAATTAGCCAGGCATGGTGGCGTGCACCTGTAGTCCCAGCTACTCGGGAGGCTGAGACAGGAGAATCGCTTGAACCAGGGAGGCAGAGATTGCAATGAGCCGAGATCACGCCACTGCACTCCAGCTTGGGGGACAGAGTGAGACTCCATCTCCGAACAAAACAAAAACGAAAATACCTAATAGAAGCTGGAACTTTCAACATATTCACTGCATGGTAGTCAATTTCCCAATCTCCCAAATACATCTGATTTGTTCGTAGCAGTCTTTTGATGGGCTCAAGGGTTTCCAGCATTTCAGTGGTTAGGCTGGCAGCTTTCATTGTAAATTATTTAACAATGTCTTCCATGCCCTTGGTTTCCACCATCACTGCTCAGATATTTTGGTTTCTGGGAGTTGGATTAGGAAGAGGAGGTAACAGACATGCATTCTAGACCTGGCTCTACCATTGTCTACCCCTGTGATCTCAGGAGCCCCTCTGAGACTCGGTTTCCCCTCCTGCACAGCGAGGGTTGTACTGGCCAAGCTGTAAGGCTCCTGGATGCTTTGGCACCTACAGTTGGGTTCCTGCAGGGGCTCTCAGGTGCCCTCCCTGGTGCTTGACTTCCGATTCTGTTTCCTCTTTCACACCCACTTGGCCTGTGTGTGAGCCTTCCACCTGTTCCTGTTTCTCCTGTCCTCATAGGTCACACACCCTCATAGTATCTCACCCCAGGGAAGAAGGCTGTGCTTCACCTTGGGGCCCCCTAGTGGGGAGTGTCTCACCAACCTTGCTTGTGGGTGCCAAAGGCAGCTGCCTGAATGGTGTGATGCCATGAGAGGCAAAGGGAAGGCCTTTGTGCCCTAAACATCCTCCCTGTGGCCCTGCTAGCAGGCCTGAAATGCCCTTGCTCCATACTCAGCTGAGATTTTGAAAGCTCCTAATAAAAGCCACAGAATCAGAGACTCCTTGGAGCCCATGTGGTCGGGTCTTTCCTGACTCAGAAATCCCCTCTACAACGTGGTCCACTCTTTGCTCACCCTCTCCCAGTGGCAAGGAGCTCACTGCCTCCTAAGACAGCACATTGGCTGGAGAGTGCTGGCTATCTTTCAGTGGTCTGCTGTCTTCCAGCAGCCTGTCCCTCATCCTGCCTCTAGGTACACACCTTTCTTTCCTCTTCCTGTGGCAAAAAACTTTCTGGGAGGGTAGTGGCAGGGACTGTGCCTAAATCCCTCATCTCAGTATCTCCAGTGACTAGCATAGTGTCTGACTGGCAGAAAGCATTTGTTCACTATATGTTTGATGAGTGACTGCAAGGTTGGATGAAAAGATGGATGGATAGATGGATGAATGGATGGAAGAATGAAAGGATGGATGAATGGATGGAAGGAAGGATGATGGATGGCAGGATGGATGAAAGAATGAAAGAATGGATAGACAGATGGATTGGTGACTGGAAAGATGGTAGGATGGGCCAGGAGTGGTGGCTCATGCCTGTAATCCCAGCATTTGGGAGGCTGAGGTGGGTGGATCACTTGAGGTCAGGAGTTCGATACCAACCTGGCCAACGTGGTGAAACCCCATTTCCACTAAAAATACAAAAATTAGCTGGGCATGGTGGTGGGCACCTATAATCCCAGCTACTCAGGAGGCTGAGGCAGGATAATAGCTTGAACCAGGGAGGCAGAGGTTGCAGTGAGCTGAGATCAGGCCACTGCACTCCACTGTGGGCCACAGAGCAAGACTCCGTCTCAAAAAAAGAAAAAAAGATGGAAGGATGAATGAATGGATGGATGAGTGGATGGAAGGATGAATGAAAGGATGAAAGGATGAGTGGTGGATGAATGGATGGAAAGATGGAATGATGGATTGATGAAAGAATGGATAGGAGGAAGGATGGGTGGATGGATGGATGGATGGATGGATGGATGGATGGATGGATGAGTGGATGGATAGGATGGATGAAAGGATGGATGGATGAATTGATATATGGATAAACGGGTGCATAAATGAATTGATAAATGGATGGAGAGATGGATTGATGAATGGATGAATGAAAGGATGTAAGGATGGATGAAAGAAAGGATGGATGGATGAATCAACTGATGGATAGACAAATGGATAGACAGATGGATGAATAACAGGAAGGACAGATGGATGGATGGATGAATGAATCAATGGATTGATGAATGGATGAATATGACCTCTATGATTTTCCCTTTCATGCTCTCATCTATTTGTCATAAGTTAACACTTAAAGTCCCTTTCCTCCTGGCAACTATAGGGTGGTGCCTGCAGGAATTCTCTGCCACCAGTATCAGAGCAGTGGACTCCTTGTCTCTCCTGCTTAGATCAAAAGTGCTTTAATTCTATTAGTATGATTTAGAATGAAGCCTACTCTTCTTTTCTTTGTAGTCTCCTCCCACTGTTGAGTTATTCTGAGTCCTCAGTGAGCTAACACCTCCACATCTTTTGGACATGTTATAGTTAAGCCATGACCTCCAGCTTGTATAAGAGCGACCGACTTTTTTAAAAGAGATGGGATCTCACTATGTTGCCCAGGCTAGCCTCAAATTCCTGGGTTCAAATGATCCTCCTACCTTATCTGCCCAAGTACCTAGGACTACAGGTGTGTGCCACACCTGGCTGTCATTTTTGAATCCAAGATAGTACGTAGCCACTGTTCCAGCCTGTTCAAATCCTTCTGAATTCTTCTTGTGACCCAGAGAGAAGGACAACAACTACTTTTATTGAACACCTCATAGTGATAATGATCGTACGGCAGGTGTACTTCACTTGCAGAGTGCAAGCTCCATGAGGGTAGGCAACCCACCCTCTGCAGCACCTAGTTCAGTACCTGATACACAATCGGCGCTTAGTAAACATTTGTTGAATGAGTGAGTGAACATCTATCTCATTGAATTCTCACAGCTGCCCTTTGAGGTAAATACTTGTCTTTTTCACACATGAGCACATTGAAATCAGAGAGGTTATGTAACTTTTCCAGGGTCACACAGTAAATGACTGACCTGAGTGTCTGAGATCAGGCTTGCCTGACTCCTAAACCACCACCCCAAACTATCAAGCCTGCCCTCAGGGCTACAGAGTGTTTCTTGGAGGAGATCTTCAGCCCCTCCACCTTTCACCTCTCCAGTGGGTAACTGTACCCCAGCATAGCATTGAGGGAGACTTAAAGAAAGGGACAGGAAGCTTTGATGGGGTTGGAAACAGAAGGGGTGACAGGAGGGTGGAATGTTCTTGGCTGACAGCAGCTGGGAGGACTGGGGGATTCTGACGACAAGATGAGGGAGCAAAATGGGGATCAAAGACCAGCCCAAGACTTCTTCGGTCTTTGAAGATCAAGCCAGGGCAGGTTGGGAGTGTAGGTCCCTCTTTTCAGCCCCAAACATACGGTAGCCCAAGGAGAAGGGCAGGCTCCCAGCCCCTCCAGGCCCAGCCCCTCCTGCCCCATCCCACACTTACTTGTTGCTGAAGACTTTGCTGTAGTTGAAAACCTGAATCTCCAGCATCTCATTTCTGTCAATGCTGCTGGCCACTGGCCACCGAAACGTCTGGGGAGAGAGGAACAACTGTGGCTTTGGTGGCAATAACAGGTAGGAGCCTTGGGGCGTGGGAGGGGAATCTCTGTTGGGGGTCTCCAACAGCCAGAATGGCCCCTCACTTGGGCCCAGTGCTCCCCAGGGACAAAGCATTGACACCTGGAATCTCATTTAGTTCCAACGACCACCTTGCAGAGCCGGCATTGGTGCCCACTCCTCTTTCAAAGATGGTGCTCGGAGATGTTGGAGGACCTGCCCAAGGTCATGTGGTAGGTGAAGAGTCTGGACCTACCAGGACTTTTGACTCCCTACACAGTGCTGCTTCCATGGCCTCCTAGTTCCTGAGGGGGCTTGGGAGAAGGCGGTGCAACCAGGGTGGTGGTCGGGCCCCAGGGAGACAGCAAGGATTGTGGATGTGAGCCTGGTTTTTGGCGAGTGCTGAATGGAGCTGTGAGCTTCCAGCTCTCTCCCATCAGGATCACCCTGACTGGTGTGGGCTCTGCCCCAGACTCCTATGTTGAGTTCAGACCACTCCTCACTCTGCCAATGGTAACATCAGGGACAGGTTTGAGCTGATTAGTGTTCCTGGGGTCAGGCCCACAGTCTGTCCCCAGCTCACTGTTTCTGGATTCACCCTTACCACTTCTGTGTGGCTTCCTCCCTAACTTAATGTTAGTGATGAGTAGGAATTTGATTGGGATTTTTCCTGGTGCCCTAGAAATGGCAACAAGGGCTCAAAAGAGAGGCTAAAGTGGCCTAGTGCCCCATTCTGTAAAAAGCTGCCAATGGGCAGAGCCGGACATCTTCCCAGGGCTTCCTCAAAGGGCCTGTTACCTCCAACCATCACCCAGCCCACCTTCCTGGGATGGGACAGAAGACTGGGCAAGGGAAAGGTGGGAAGAATTCTGTCCTGGGCGTAGTGTTTTTGTGGTGCTTCTTGGGGAAACAGCTCATGGCGATTAGGTACCGGCAAGAAGGGCAGCATGGCATGCAAATCCCCAGTGGCATCTGTAGGGCGTGGACTGGCAGGAGGCCCATGGAGCACTGCAGGGCAAGGAGCCCAGCCTGTTGGCTGTGGCAAGTCTTCGAGTTGCGCTCCATTGGCCAAGTGGGGTTGAGTGATCTAATGACACTTTTTCCATGGGCTGCCCACCAGGGGAGGATGTGGGGAGCCTCAGCAGGGGTCCCTGTCCCACTCCATGTCCTGAGCCACAAGCATGAGGGAAGGGGGATGGCCAGGGGTGAATAGGATGCCAGACTGGAGTAGGAAGCCCTTCTGGACAGGACCAGACAGCGCTGAGGTCTGCTCAAGACGCTGTGGAGAGACCGTGTCAGGGAGGATTTTGACAGGTCGGGTGGAAGACAGTGACTTTTTATTTTTTAGCTCCATTTTTATACCCTACCAAATTCAGACTGCTCAATAGGCCAATAATAAATAATAATAGTAATAATAGCTGCCATTTCTGGGGAACTTTTTCTCATGCAAGGGTCTGAATGCTCTATGTGCATTCATTCATTTAGTCTTTCCGATGGCCCAAGAGGCAGGTAGTGGCTTCTGTGCTCTATAAACAAGGAACTTGGCCTCAGAGCAGCTGCATGATTCGGAAACTCCGTTGGTGGCTGAGCAGGCCCTGGGAAGGAGGCCTCTGAGAGCCCACCCTGCATGTTTGCCATTTCCAAAGCTGAGATTCCTTCTCCCAGCCTGGGGACTTGGAGGGCTTGGGCACACTGGGCCAGCCCGCAGGTCACTGCCCAGTGTGGACAGGGCCTGTTTCAGGAAAACAGCCTTTGTGACATCTCCCTTCAGGACTGGCTAAGTCCCAGGGAGGACCCGGCCTTGGCATGACAGGGAGGAAGAAGCAGAGGAGGGGGAGGGGGTCTGCAGGGTGGGGTGGGGAGGGTTCTGAGCAGGGCCTAGGGAGGGCTTTAAAGGCGAGGTGGGCACAGGGCAGAAGGGTGGGCTGAGGGGCCCAGGAAGTGGAGGCAGCCTGGCCCACAGGCCTCATTCAGCGGCTGCGGCTCCAGCTTCTGGATGCCTCTGGCAGCTCAGCAGTGTGTGGTTTTCTTAATGAAGCTGCTTTTATGGGGCTGCAGGGAAATAAAGCAGCCCAGGAAGGCCCAGCTCATCAGTCACAGTGCCGCGTGGGAGTGGGGGTGCCGCAGGAGCCGCCGAGATTCGGTTTACTGAGGATGAAGCAGGGAGGAGTGATTCAACCCCCTAAGGGTCTGTGGGTGGGATTTTGGCATTGGAAGGAGAGAAAGATCAGGAATAAAGGACATGACCTTGGAGATGGCCCTGTGAAAGGGATGGCGGGTGTTGAATGGTGGCCGGAGGCTGAGGCTAAGGGACCTGGGGAGGGAGACTGCCTGGCTGGGGGGCAAGGACCAGTTTGTTGAGTGAGAGTTGGGTGTCAGGGAGGGTCCAGGAGAGAGGGGGCTTCCAGAAGGGCCCCTGACTGCAGATGAGAATAATCAGGGAAGCGTGTGTAGGTGTGTGGCTCAGGTGCCCTTTCGGGAACTCATCAGCCAGGTCTGGGCAGTCCCTGAAGACGTCAGAGGGGAAAGTTCTTCTTGGAGGCTTTCTGGGCGAGGGAGGAACAGACAGGGTCCTCACTGAGTGACAGAGGCTTCCCGGGCGAGGGAGAAGACAGGGTCCTCACTGAGTGACAGAGGCTTCCCGGGCGAGGGAGAAGACAGGGTCCTCACTGAATCACAGCAGCTTCTTCAGTCTCTGACTTGCTCCGTGCTTTACAGATAGGTCTGTCTCCCTCCCACATTTTCCACCCACAAGAGGCTTTCCCCTCATTTCTCTTTTCCTTCCCTCCCGCGTCGTTCCTGTGCTTTCTTCTCCTCGCCACATCCATTTTCTCTTTCATCAGTTTCTCTCTCTGTCTCTATCTCTTCCTTTGTCTCTGCCTCCCTCTGTCTCTCTCAGGGGTTCTTCATCTTGGCTGGAACTGGAATCCATTCCAGAAGCTTTTAAAAATCCCAAGGCCCAGGCCTGGAGACAGGTCAAGCCAGCACCTCTAGGTGGGGTCCTGGCATCAGTGTGGGGCCTCAGAGGGTGATGGGCCTCCTGGCTGGAGGGAAGTGACTCAGGGTCTGGGACTGGGGGTTACTCCCATTTGGCCTCCCTACAAGCAGAGGCATGGGCTGTAAGAAGGAGACTTTTCGGGTTAAATTTTCCTCTCTTTTCATCTCTCCTTTGTTAAAACTTTTCAATGGCTCCTCCACAGCTCCCTGAAAGAGGTGGGGATTCCCTTTCCCAGCACCCAGAGACCCCCTTGCTGTGCCCAGACAGCATTGCCAGCCCCATCTCCCATTGCTGACACCTTCCTTTGCTCAGGCAGCGTCTGTGAGCTCTGGGTACCTTACAGAGCTCCAAAGGACATGCCCACCCTTTGCTTATTTTTGTTCTTCTGACAACATTGAGGCTTGCATCTCATGCAGACTGGGAGTCTCCGTGGTGTTGCAGAAACTCTAAGTTTGAGTCAGGAGACTTGAGTTCTAGCCCTGGCTCTGCCACTCACTAGCTGTGCCTTAGCTTCCCCATCTGTGAAATGGGAGGTGACAATATCTACCTTAGAGGGCTATTGAGAGAATTGAATGAGATCTCACAGGTGACAGCAGTCATAAGCGACACAGCACTGCAGAACGCTTTTGGTTTAGATTTTCCCAGTGGGAACTCTGTGCAGGTCTGCAGCTGTCCCGTCTCCCTGTCATGCCACCTCCCTCCCCCTCGCCCCCATCACTTTCGTTTTCTGCCTCGGCCTGTGGATTTCACATGTCTCTTTCACTGCTTCTTCTCTTCCTAATTTCAGTTTTCATTGTCTCCTCATTTTTGTGGTTATGTCCTTTCCTCCATTTGGGGTGACATGCTGAGAACACAGCAAGACGAGATGAGGACTTTGAGGGTTTGGGAGCCACACTCCTCTCCTGACTCTACCATTGAATTTGTGAGCTACTAGATTGAAGGAAAGGGGGCTGGGTGCAGTGGCTCATACCTGCAATCCCAGCATTTTGGGAGGCCGAGGTGGGCAGATCGTTTGAGGTCAGGAGTTTGAGACTAGCCTGGCCAACGTGGTAAAACCCTGTCTCTACTAAAATACAAAAATTAGCCGGGTGGGTGGTGCATACCTGTAATCTCAGCTACTTGGGAGGCTGAGGCAGGAGAATCGCTTGAACCCGGAAGGCAGAGGTTGCAGTGAGCCAAGATGGCGCCACTGCACTCCAGCCTGGGTGACAGAGCAAGACTCCGCCTCAAAAAAAAAAAAAAAAAAAAAAAAAAGATTGAAGGAAAAGGGCTTCTGAAGGAAGAATTTCATCTGGGTACCACTTAGTACTTCCAGAGCACCTTTTACCCATAACCAAACTCACAGCAACATGGCAAAGATGTGCTCCTTTTACAAGTGGGAAAGTGGAGAGGCGAGAGTTGCCCAGGGGCACAAGGCTGCTTGGTGGCAGAGGCAAGATTCAAATTCAAGTCTCAGAATGCTTAGTCTGGAGTTCTGCCTTAGGGCTTAATCCACTACACTGAACCCTCTCCTGAAGCCTGGTACTGCTGGGCAGTTAAACCAAACATAGTCACTCAAGATGTCACGAGCCAGCAAGCCCCATGCTGGGGGCGAACATTTGCCGAGTACTTGCTGTGTGCCAGGCTCTGTGCATGACGCTGTGCAGAGCACAGGGATGCAGGTTGTTTCTCAGTCCTGGGGATAGTACTGGATAGTTCTGGAGACAGACACTGACCCGGAATAGCAGCCTGGGATAAGACTGTTGACAGAAGCAAGACGGTAGGTAGTACAGATAGGGAGGGAAAGAGGGCCTCTGTTGCAGGGGCGGTCTCAGGAGCCCTGGGAGTGCTGAATCCTGACCCAGTTTTCTGGTCTAGGCTTAGCGCTGACCTGGCTGGTGCTGGCCAGGGCGCAAGGTTCTGCATCCTATCAGCCCCAGTGATCTAGGACTCTGCAGAAAAGGTTTCCCCGATGCACTTTGGAGAATGACCTGGATTATGTCCAGCTTGGCCCCTGACTGGGCCTGGAACCATCCTAAATCAGCAAGGTAGCATCCTTAAAGGGACAGGGTTGTAGGTTTGGGGGAAAATATTGAGATGCACTACAAAGCTTTAGAGCAGGGGTCCCCAAACCCCGGGCCATGGACCGGTACCAGTCCATGGCCTGTTAGGAACGGAGCCGCACAGCAAGAGGTGAGCGGCGGGTGAGCAAGTATTCTCGCCTGAGTTCCACCTAATGCCAGATCAGGGACAGCATTTGATTCTGATAGGAATGTGAACCCCACTGTGAACTGCACATGCCAGGGATCTAGGCTGTGCACTCCCTAAGAGAACCTAATGCCTGATGTTCTGAAGAGGAACAGTTTCATCCCCAAATCACCCCCGGCCACCACCATCCCAGTCTGTGGAAAAATTGTGTTCCACGAAACCGGTCCCTGGTGCCAGAAGGTTGGGGACTGCTGCTTTAGAGTATAGTGGGAAAGAAACGGATTTGTGAGCTTAAAGACCTGGGCTCAGTATCCCTAGTGTGGCTTTTTCACTTTCCCAGGACACAAAGGCTGAGTCTTTCTCTGTCTCTCTCTCTGTTTCTGTCTTTGTCTCTGTCTCTTTCCCCAGTTTCTTCAGAGTTGTAAGTTAAATGTAGGATCTCAGATCTCAGCTGGTCTTCTTGGGCAATTCTCTTCCCCACTCTAAGACCTGTTTCTTCAAGTGCAAGACAAGAGGGTTAAACTAGATGATCTCTAACCTTAGAGATCAAGGTGATCTAAAGTCCCCTTAGGTGATCTCGTCTGTGCCTTGACTGCTTCCTTTCTATCCAGGCCACAGCAAAGGGCCTGATGTACCACTAGCCCTGCTGAGCCCACTTCGTCTGGGCACAGGCCTGTGGTGACAGGTGCCAGTCCTAGTGAATATCACTGTTTTGTTCATTCTTTCACTCGGCAACATTTTCTGAGCTCCATGCTGGGTGCCAGGCCAATGATGAAAAAAGACAGGTGCGTTTCTGGCCTCCAGGAGGTAACAGCCCATGACTTCCAGGGACAAGCAGAAAGTGGCAGATAATGCCAAACTCCCCTGCCCTGTCATCCCCCAGGCTGGTGACCTCTTCCTCCTCTGGGCTCAGAAGGCCCAGGGTCCCTCCTTGTTTGTAGTGGGTCCATCTGCCCACCAGACTGAACCCCTTGAGGGCAGGGCTGAATCTTGTCTACTTTGCAAATGACCACAGGTCCTGGAATCAGATAGACTTGGGTTTAAATCCTGGTGTGGCTCCTTATCACCTAGGATGCGACCAACCCAGCAAGTTCTAGAGAGTCTAATGCTTGTGTCAAGCTCTCAACCCATCTTGCCACACACTAAGTGCTCAGTAAACAGCAGCAGTTCTTATCATTGCTCCAAGTACTATTGTTACTCTAGCCTCTCCCCTGGGGCCTGGTCCACACAGGGCCTGTGTTAGAGCCAAAGCAAACTGGCTAAAGGTGGGTACTCCTGCTTCCCCAGGGCACAAAGGCTGGGTCTTTCTCTGTCTCTCCATAGCTTTTCCAGTGTTGTAGGTTAAATGTAGGAGCTCAGGTTCCAGCCTCTGGGAAAGGAGACACCATGTCCAGGCTCTGTTTCCACCCATTGTTGTAGAGAGCATTGTCTTTCTTCCATGGCCTCCTCCTCCCCACTCAGGTTCCTAAGCCCAGCTGCTGCAGCCCCTCTCACCCATGCCTGAGCAGAGGAGGGGCCCCTCCCTTGCTTGGAATCCCTTACCTAGTAGAGCTGTGAGAGACATTTGCTTTCTTGTCTGTCATTTCATTTTTTCTAGCCTTGTGACAGTCCCGTGGGGGCAGGCAGAGCAGGGAGCATATCCCTGTCTTACAGAAGGGGAATGCAAGGCCCAAAGAGGTTCCTCAGCAAGGACTGTGGTGCAGGTCTCATGACTCCCAAGCCACTGAGTCTTGCTAAGCTGGCTCCTGCAGGCCCTGGGCAGAGTCAGGCGGAGAGAAGAGGCTTTCTGGAAAGTCAAGAGGCTTTTGGGGGATTTGAAAGGGCCTCTTTCCCAGGATATTCTGGAACCACTGGCAGGCAGGTTCTTTCAGGGGGATGCCAGGCAAGTTTACGACTTACCCACTGGGTCTAGGGAGAGAGGTTAAAGCCAGGGTACGGTTCCAGGCTATCTTTGGGATTGGGCTGACCCAGGCCTCCGGGCCCTTCCTGAACAGGGGATGGGAGGGTGGCCTTCCTGCTTCGTGGGATGTGCACTGCTGACCAGTGGTGGCCAGGGCTGCAGCCACTTCGCACAGGGAGAAATGGCGGCAGGGGGCGTGGAGAGACTTCCACACGGGCCTTGCAGGGGTGGTGGGAGTCAGGCCCTATCACTGTATCCAGAGAGGGCTTAGGTCTCATCTACGCAAGAATTCAGAGCCCTGGCTTGGCCGCTTCCAGCTCTGTTACCTGGGGAAGGGTAGTTACTATCCGAGCCTGATTTCATCCGTGGATTATTTCAGAGATTGAGTGGAAGGGGCATGGCTCAGGAAGCAGCTCAGGGCTGCTTCTGGGGCTGCCACCATCTTCCCACGGGGCTCCCTGGTGGGAAGTGCGGGATGGCCTGAGTGTTGCAAGTCATTTTACATCCTTGCTCCCCACCTCACTAAATGCCAGCAGGTTCCTCATTGTGACAGCCAGAAACTTGCCTGTCTCCCCAGTGGGTGGGCAGCACTTTCCCCAGGTCGGAGCCACTTCTCCCCATCGCGTGCCCTGCTCTCTGACCCTAGTCACGTGCTTCTTCCCATAACTGCCTGGCTTCTGCCCCGCCCCAGTCTCTCCACACTGACTCTGGCTACCCTATCCCTAAGCTCCCATACAAATAATCACGGGGTGTTGAGCCCAGGTTCCTCCCTCTGGAGTATCTCAAGCCCAGGCTGGCATTCATTAGATGCTCAGAATGTGGCCTCTTGTTCAGGGCCAGCAGAGACAAACTCTCCCCCTGAGGCAGGTTGGGTAGAGTTGGGAAGAGGAAGGACACGGTGATTAACTTTGAATGTCATGCATACCTGTGGCTCAGGTGTCTGGGGCGCTGGGCATGGAAAGGGGTGGCAGTGCCCTTGGAAGGGGCATCAGGTTGCCCCCTGGCTGGATGCCTGGGCTGACATGTCCCCTGGGAGTCTTGGGAGGAGGGAGTCAGATGCTGTGCCTGGTGGATTAGTGGGCAGAAGCCCAGGGAGGTAGGACTACGGGAAACTGGGCCAGGCTGCTGGAATCTTCACCCAGCCAGCCCAGTGCCCTGACTGAGGAAATGGGGAGGGGAGGGAGCAGACTGGGTGTATAATGCGGCAAGCCTGAAGCCTCTATGACTGCTGTCTCAGTGGGCAACCATGGTTCCACTCTCACCATAACCCTTCATTTTGTTAATCATTTTACAGAGACCTTCACACCCATCACCAATCCCATTTGACAAAGATGGTGGCGGGTTTAGAAACTGAGGTCATTGTACAACCAGGATGGGGAGAAGGTAAGGACAGAAACTGCCCTAGCTCTAGTGATTCACTTTAAATGAACAATTCACCTGTCCTGTGTAGCAGTAGGGATGTACCAGGGAGGTAGTGGCAACTGTGCCCCACAGTGGTTGGGGAGGGCGTGGTGCTGGGCCGCGACGGTTGATAGTGCTGGGCCGCGACGGTTGATGGCTGTGTCTGAGCCTGAGTGAGGAGCGAGGCTTTGCTCCCTGTGTCTCCAGCTCTGGGTCGATGGACACAGCCCCATCATGTGGCCCGGTTTCAGAGGGAGGGAGACAGCTGGTGCCAAGTGTCAGCCTGGTGGCTGCTCAGCCGAACGCCAGCAGCCAACCTCAAGAGGTACAGTCTGCCATAAGGCCCTTCCCAGCCCCCACAGAGCCAAGCAGGAGAGCCAAGCCCAGGTGAGAGGGGGTACACTATTTGAGGGTCACCATGGAGCTTCCAGTTTGGCCAAGATGGTGATGGATGACTGCTGGTCCTCACCCCAAAGTCAACCCTGGAGAAACTACAGCAGCCAGAGGGGAATATAGATTCTGGAAGCAGCAAACAAATAGATGAAAGAATGTGAGGAGGCCGCGGGCTGCTTGAACTGGTGTGTGTGTGTGTAAGGATGGGGCTCCCAGACAGGCCAGGTGCTGAGGGGATGGGCAGGGAGAGGGAAGCATTGTAAGTCCTCTCACCACTCCCAGACACTCCCGTGGGATGGTGTCGCCTACTCCTTTGCTGATAAAATTGTGACAACAGCCCAGTTGGAGTGAGGATTGAGAAAAGTCGTTGTCAATAGACCAGCAGCTCACGTCTTTTCTCATGGCACCCCCAGAGTTGTTGCTGAAAATCCAGACTGTCTTCTCTTCCCCATGTTTCCCCTCAAGGTCTGGAGATGGTGCCCTGACTCAGGTGGGGTGCTTGACAATGTTTCCCTGGTGACCGGGGCTCCCACCTCAGTGCCTGGGGCTGCCCTGCTCTTCAACCCTTGAGGACTGACACAGATTGGCCTTTGCGATGTCCCCAACACTCGCCTGCCTCGTTGGGCCCTCAGCTGGTGGCTCACATTCAGGTCTACAGCACCTGTGGGCTCTTTCTCCACAGGGAATAATAGGCCCAGACCTGGCAGGGCTGTCGAGGTGGGCAAGGCTGCTGTTCCCCTCCTCACCACCTCCTTCAGGAAGCAGCTGAGAGGTGAGGGGCTCAGAGCAGGCTGGCGCCTGGGATTTGGGGCCAGTGTGTGCCCACAAGAGGCAGTGAAGGGTGCTTGCTCCCCTCTGGGCTCAGGGCTGAGGGAGGGGGTGGTCTTGGGCCTCCTACCTCGTCAAAGTCAGCCACATCCTCACAGTTCTCCAGGACCCGGGAGTAGAAGGATTGCCCTGCAGGGAAAGAGGAAATAAATTCTAGGGTCAGACCTGTCCATACGACCAGCGTGGGCTCAGACCTCCTCATCCCGGGAGTCGTCCTGACAGCATTTGACTTGTCATGCAACATGGGACCTCCTGGCTTGCACAGTTCTCCCAGGGTGAGGCCAGTCCCCATGCGGCCTCTTCTCTGACCCTCTCAGCAGTCCCGTGAGGGAAGCCAGTCAAAGGCCATGAGTTCCATGTTAGGAACGGGAATCCTAAGGCACAGAGGGCCCAGGCTGGTCCGAGTGGCCGTGGAAGAGGACCCCAGGAGCTATTCTCCACCACGCTCTTCCCCCGTGGATCTCTCAGCCTTCTCTGCAGCCTCCCCAGCTCTGGTGGTAACTCCGGGCCCTGCTGCCCTGAGTAGAAACCTGGTACAGAGGGTGTAGCCCCTGCCTGCTGATGGGGGTCTGTGAAGCCCAGCTTCCTTCTGCAGCCACCCCAGGGGCTCCTGCCCAAACCAGGTCCCCAAAACCAAGTCAGATCCCAGAGTTTTTCCCTGTGGGACAAGGGCTTTCCCCTTCCACCACTGTCATGGTTGTCCATCTTCCTGTCAGCCTTAGCAGAGAAGACGGTCTCTGGCAGTTTCCTCCTGGGCTCTATTCCTGCCTCCACTTTCCCCACTGGCACAGGAAGTAGAGCGTGTATGAGATGGACACCCATCGTCCCAGGCTCCCCCATCCGTATGCCACCCAGTAGGGCACGCTGGGAGGACAGAGGGAAAGCTGCCCTCTTTGCTAGTCCAGTTGGAACTGGCCCAAGATGTGGGGAGAAATAAGTCAGGAGAGAATCGAGGGCAGGTTGAAGGGGCTCCAATGTGTGGGAAACACCAGCTAATTCAGTTCACTTTGAGAAGTAGCCGCTGGAGTCTCTGATGTTCCAGGCCATGTCCCGGGGCCTCGGAATAGAGGATGGACCAATGACAAAGGCACAAGCTCCCACCCACAGGGAGCTGATGGTCTAGAAGGGAGGCCAGGAGCCAAGCAACAGGGCACCAGTACAAGGGAAATACCTTTTTTTTTTTTTTTTTGAGATGGAGTCTCGCCCTGTCCCCAGGCTGGAGTGTAGTGGCAAGATCTCGGCTGACTGCAACCTCTGCCTCCTGGGTTCAAGTGATTCTCCTGCCTCAGCCTCCTGAGTAGCTGGGATTATAGGCACCCGCCACCATGCCCAGCTAATTTTTGTATTTTTAGTAGAGACAGGGTTTCACCATGTTGGCCAGGCTCATCTGGAACTCTTGACCTCAAATGACCTGCCCGCCTTGGTCTCCCAAAGTGCTGGAATTACAGGCATGGGTCATCGCACCAGGCCTCCAGTGCAACACCATTCAGTACATACTCCAAGGCACAATTTTGCACAAGAAACAGTAATGGTACAGAGAAGGGAGGATACATACTGTTTTAGGGGTGGGATGGAACCACAAGAGAAGGGACTGTAATTTCTGTGAGGAGAAACCTAGAGATAGGATGAGTTAAAGAAAAATTTGTTGCTTAGAATTAATTTATTATCCTCTGTCAATTCCATAGTAAGGGGAAAAAGGCAGCATGTATATTAGAACTCCGTTAATAAAAAAAAATACCAACACCCAAATTATATGTATATGCTTCTTCTATGAAGAGACAAACATCTCAAACCATTGAAAGTGGTTACCCCCTCTGGGCGCAGTGGCTCACACTTGTAATTCCAGCACTTTGGGAGGCCGAGGCGGGCAGATCACCTGAGGTCAGGAGTTCGAGACCAGCCTGACCAACATGGAGAAACCCCGTCTCACTAAAAATACAAAAATAGCTGGGCATGGTGATGGGCATCTGTAATCCCAGCTACTTGGGAGGCTGAGGCAGGACAATCGCTTGAACCCAGGAGGCGGAGGTTGCTGTGAGCCGAGATCACGCCATTACACTCTAGCCTAGGCGACAAGAGCAAAACTCCGTCTCAAAAATAAATAAATAAATAAAATAAAAAAGAAAGAAAGTGGTTATCCCTGGGGAGGGAGAGTGAGAAGGTACGGAAAGCAGCATGCTTTGATGCGAGCCACCACACCTGGCTGAAAGACAAATAAATAAATAAATAAATACATGTGAATTTGAATTTTTTTCCAGTAACCATGCTTGCTTTTAGTAATTGAAAGACAAATGCCTTTTTTTGTTTGTTTGTCTTGAGATGGAGTCTCGCTCTGTCACCCAGGCTGGAGTGCGGTGGTGCAATCTCGGCTCAGTGCAACCTCTGCCTCCTGGGTTCAAGTGATTCTCGTGTCTCAGCCTCCCGAGTAGCTGGGATTACAGGCATGCGCCACCGTGCCTAGCTAGTTTTTTTACTTTTAGTAGAGATGGGGTTTCGCCATGTTGGTCAGGCTGGTCTCGAACTCCTGGCCCCAAGTGATCGCCCACCTCAGCCTCCCAAAGTGCTGGGATTATAGGTGTGAGTCACCGCACCCAGCTGAAAGACAAATACCTTTAAATATCCACCAGTATAAACCATTTCATTGAAGGACTCTCTCCAGGTTGAAGCCATTCCTATTTGGGGGTTAGTTTGGGTTGTCACTGTTGGAGACCATGGCATGGGGGGAGCGGACTGTGCTCCTCTCCCTACAGAAAACCTGGGAGACCAGGCTAGAGTGGCGCCAGGACAAGGAGATACTGGAGGGGTCAGAGGTCCTCTGAACCTTCCCTGTGATGGGTCTAGGGGCTGGGCAAGGAACGGGGCTCAGCAAAACAGGCTTGTTCCCTCCAGGAATTGACCTCTCTCCTCTGGCGTTGGTGGCCTTATCTGTTTAGTAAGAGCTCTCCAAGGTCCCAGCAGCTTTTATGACCCAGGAGCTAGTCCTAGTTCAATGCAGAGCTCCCCTCTGACAAGGAGGGCTGGGAATGGAGGGGTCGTTGATGTCAGATCCACTGAAATGGGGAGTGTGGCTCCACTCCGAAAGGGTGTGTGTTCGTGTGTGTGTGTTTTGGGGTGGGGGTAAGTGGGGAAGGGCTGGCTGCATCTGAGATAAGGAGCAAAAAGCCATGCCACAAAGCAGAGGCTATCTATAAAGAAAAGAGATGTGCAATAAACAAGATGGGAAAGAAATAATCTTTAGCACTAGCCAGTGACATAAAAAACAAAACAATCAACAAGAAATATCTCAACAGCAAGCCCCCAGGCAACCAAGGGAGGAGAGGGAAAGTGCCTGAGGTTTGAGTTTTTAATTTTCCCCACAGGTAACACACAATATAAATTGAGAATCAAGTGAGCATGTTTGTGTATAAGGCCTTCACCTAAAGACCTGCTGCTCTGAATAATCAAAGACCTTTTCATCCTAGAAGATTTTAATGAGCCTCAGATATAGCTGTCCTCCAGGGTCTCTTGGAGTGAAAAACCGAGCAAACCAGCAGAGGATTGGGAGAGGTTGGGGAGGGGCCCTGCTCCAAGATGGTGTCAGATTCACATCTACAGGAAACACCAAGGCTCAAACCCTCCCCTGCTTGTGCATTTGTCCATAGCTTTGTTAGAGAGGAAGTAAAATATGTGAAATTAGCCACTGCAGAATTTATACATCAGGGCTCTGTGTCGAAATGTGCTGAAACCTCATTGATTTAGGCCCTGGGGATTTAGAGATGGTGAATATTTTCAAACAGGATGAGCTAAATTTACCTCCAGCTATTCTTTTTTAAAAAAGGTTTGCTGAAACACATCAATCATATAGAAACAGTGGAAAGGCCAAATTATTAAGAAAACAAAATGTCCTTCAGCATTTTGGATGAGCCATTTCAGGAGGGTATGTACAAACAGTGGCTGGCAGTATTCAAGTGGTTCTGTTCTGTTCCCTGGAGCAGAGCCAGGGGACCTCCATCATCTGTTCCAAGTGATCAGGGGAATGACTAACTCCATCTCTTGTTTCAAGTTCATTTCCACTTAACATCTACTCCATTCAACGTCAGTCTTGTTGACATTCCAGCTTCATTTTAAATGGCTTTCAGACAAAACCATTAAAAATCCCAATATCCAATCACCTTTCTTGCCACAGAGAAGATGGAGAATAAAGCTTGAAAGAAAATAGCCTCTTCTTTACATGGAAAGGCTGTTGTGGATTGAGTGAGAAGGAGGTTAGATGGGGAAAATAGGACAGCATCCTCCTTCCTTCTGAGGCAGCTGCTTCTGGGATAGCTGAGCTGTTTGGTTTGAAATAAACTCCTCCCTGAGTCAATAGATGGAGTATGAATAGCAGAGTCTGCTCAAAGTGTAACAAGCGCCATGGTATCAGATATACCCATTTCTCCATTCACCACTTAAAAATATCCACGCGGCAGCTCTTCTCCTAAATGGAGACGAGCTCAGTGCTTGTTTCAGAAGCAGGATGGCATGCTGGCCTTTCATGGGACGTGATTTAAGGGGACAAAATGTTCCATCTGCACAAAATAGCTCCCTCTTCCAGACAGCTTACCCTGCTAGGGCCACGCCTCTGAGAAAAGGCAGGTGTGCAGGGACATGGCTGCCAGCCCATGTATGTTCATTCATTTCCACAGGCAACCAGGGCTTTCTTGCTCCTGGCTTGTGTGCCATTTGGCCTTCACAGAGGGGAGTTGTACAAAGACCATTCGAATCTGAACGATGCCTTTAAGAGCATATTACAATCCAGAGGGAGATATGTCAGGCATGGAAAATTCTGCTGATGATATAAGGCAGAATTTTGCCATTGGCATGCAAAAAGTGTAAATAAAGTGAAAACCCAGAAAAAGGAGCAATGACTCTCCATGTAACGGATTAAGGAGGCATTGCAGAGGCACAGGCATTGACACTGGAAGACCAGAAGAAATCTGGATATTCAGACAGACTGGGGAGCAAGGAGAAGGCGGGAAATCCAGGCACAGAGAACAGTGTAAGGAAATGTTTGAAAGCATGGAACAGAGAATGGAGCCCCCAAGGAGCTGGACACAGGACGGGGAGTCCTGATGGCGAAGGGAAAAGCAAAAATGGTCTGCCCTCAGGGA